AATAATAATAATAATGAATAATTTTCGTTGGTACAAACGAGTACTAACGATTTAGAAGCTATCGGTATGTTTTCCTGACGTCCTTCATACATTTAAGATTTTAGAAGCGGGTAAAGTACTGAAGGGGTTGATAAATGAAATGGAAAAATACAGTAGATACAAGTACTATCCATGCTGAATTCTTGCTCATGAAAATTTTTTCGGTACCTTCATTTCCGACGCTGCACGATTTTTTCCGCACCCCTTACGTCTAGGGATGCGGGGTACAAACGAAAATGAATGTGGTACGTTCAGGTCCTCACTGGGTAATCCTGGGTAATCGATTACATTTTGTAATCGCGGTGTCACCCAATTCGCCTGTGAATAGCCCCTCGACTAGGGATGAGCAATTTAGTGATAAAAAATAGACTTTGACTTACTCTTTGATTATCCGATTGGGCAGCAAATGAGATCACACTATCAACTCTGGAAATATACAAGAACGTCGTCCGAACGATGTTACCCACCCCAATGAAAATTCACTACTTATTCAATCTTCGGGATATCTCCAAAGTGTTTCAAGGACTTCTGCGAAGCCACAAAGATTACCAGTATTCTCGCCCGACATTTCTTCGTCTATGGGTGCACGAGATTTTCCGTGTCTTCAGTGACCGATTTATCGATGAACGGTAATGGATTAAATAATTCATCTGTGAAGAAACAGTCACTCCATTCATTCAATTTACACAGGGACCGCGACTGGTTCATCGCACAAATGAATGAACAATTGGGAAAGTACTTTGAGCTCACCTTTCACAATCTCTGCCCAGAAAAACGCTGTCCCATATTCGGTGAGTATTTGCATATTTGAATGAAATTTCAATTGCGTCAGAAAAAATACGTAGGGTCCATCTGACGCATTGATGGAATCCACTGGAATCCCTCGATTTTTTCCCTATCGATTCTGTCAGGAGTCTTCTTCTCAGTGAAAGAATTTGCCGATGAAACCGAATGAGTGAAAATAGAATAGGGGAGTGGAGTAAAATGGATACTTGACATTATTTCCAATGTTCATAACTCGTTGGAGGGGTGAATAATTGCACTTTTGTGGGGAAAATGATATCATTGCACTGTTAATTTTCGGCGAATCAAATATTCTCACGTGGAAAATGTAGGTTTTCTGCAGAGCAAATTTTTTCTCTCAGTGCTCCTTGCATAACAGTGAATATGTCAAATTTTACTGCTAAAAAATCCTGAGTGCGCCCATAACACTAGAGATTGCTTCGCGAAATTTCCGACATTTATTCTTATGCCGGAGAACTCGAGGAAAATACCCGATTCATTTTGAAGCACGAGTGGTCCTCATTTGTCGGATTGTTTTCCCCACTCGGATTAAGGGGATCGGAGTACAGTATTTCGAGGGAAAGAAATAACGAGTGACTGCGAAATATTTAAAATCTAGGAGGAAATATCGAGTTTGATATCCCAAAAGCTCCAAACTTATTGGAGAGTTCGTTGGAAACAAACGCGAACGTCAAGTTTCCGATAAGAATCGAACACGAAAGCAATCCTGCATTCTAGTTTTATTTTTACTAGACTAGACGTGCTCGTCTGTGTCGTAAGTGACTGCATGAATGCCCGTAATTGCTGAGAAATTAGGGAAATTTTATGAATCGATTTTCCAGAAAAGTGAATTATTTTTCTAAATTTTGTTTTGAATGAAAAAAAAACAGACAATTTCCGCGGTTTTCTAGAATTTAGAATCTGTATCCCAGTAAAAAAATGATAGAGAATCAAATTTATGTCATTCGCGAAGAACGGAAAATGGAAGGAATTGAAATTAATGAGATTCATGAAAATTTATGATGAATGGAACTTCACGAAATTTTCCTCTTTTATGGATGACATTGTTATGGTTTTTTTTCTCGCGAGAATGAAAAATTTTCACGATTCCAATCAACTTCCATGCGAATGCGAAACGAACGAAAAATCATATCTACGCATTTGCGAATTTAGCTCTTCATGAAAGCCATGAGAAAAAGTTAATTGTACAAAAGGAACAAAGCAAGGAGGATGCGAGCGTAATTCACGAGTCCATCCTTTTCGCAGTGGCGCTAAAAACTCCAATGAAATTCTGCCGGAATGAAAACGACGTCGACGTGGACGACAACGGCGAAAACTGAGATGCGAATTTTCAACGAATGAATTATTTATGTCCTAGCGTTCCATTCGAACCACTTTTTTTCCTATTCAGGTGACTTCATGAACCCCTGGAATGTATACGAAGATCTTTCTGACACTGCCGCTCTGCGTCGTTTCATTGGAATGCAAATGGACGAATATAATACGTTAACTGGTGTTGTGAGGCTGGATCTGATTCTTTTCATCGATGCGATTGAGCACATTTGTCGTATTATTCGAGTGATTTCACAGGTACGATTGGAAAAATATTTTTATTGACGATAAAGATGCAGAGGAAAAAAATTTCTGGTTACCGGGGACAAAAAGTACTGGATTCCAGGGGGAATTTCAGGGAGATGTTACTTCCTTGGAACAAGTATTACATACTTGAACCAATTTCAAATAAATAAGATCTTACGGTGAATATCAATTATTTCTTCTTGAGATACATTTACTTGAATCAAATAAAACAGTCCTTGGTGTCGAGTCACAGGTATTCACCACAAAAATGGAAGTTCTATTTTTTTAACCTAATATAATCTCCAGTCGAGAAATTTTCTAGTTTCATGAATAGATAAAAAATTCGTACCTGGGAGATGATTACATTGAGGAATGAATTGAATGTTGTTTTCTCGAATGAAGCCGATGTTTAAATTGAGCTTTCCGTACATCACATTGAACGAAATTTGTGATATCCAAGTTTGTGTTGAATTGCCGTAATCTGTGATTCTGTTATTGTAAACTAATGCGATTTTTTTTAGTCAAGAAATATAAACTTCTTTCAACTCAACGACATCTTACTACAATCTCAAAGCTTTTTCCGCGTAACAATATTCATCCTGATTCGACATACGAAATGCTCACTTCAATTATCATTTACTTGGAACAACGTCTGATCGTGTTGATTGAGATAACAACGTATTTAGTCATGAGAATAATTTTGACTTTTGAGTAAACCAACGAATTTCTGGCGTTGGCAAACTTTTGGCTAGAAAGAAATCAAATACTCTCATTATTGCGACAAATAAAAGGAACATCAATTCTAGAGAAGTTCAATTTCTCCCAATCAAATGTATCTCAAGAAAAGATAACTGGTATTCACTATGAAATCATGTTTGTTTGAAAGTTAACAACCAAATGATAGTTGATTCAAATAAAATTCTCTTGATAACACTAATTTAGTCAGTTTAGTTCTCGGTATTTTTTACAGAAATCCATTAAAGTTTTTTCCTTCTCAAAAATTGATCGACTCATCTTTCAACTATTTTTGAAAAATCTCTGGAATTGATAATTCTGTTCAGAATATAACTTATAAGTTCTTTTCTGAATTAATGTTCGATTATTCCAACGATTGTTCATTTAAAAACTTTTCTTTTTGTCTGTCAGTACCGAACTTTACAGATTTTTTATCTGAAATCAAATAACCAGATTGTCATTCTCAGGCGAATGCATATTAGAATCATGAGTTTCTCAAAATCACTAACTCGTTCCTTGAAACTAGAAACTTCTGTCTCAGTGCATAAGTAGGAACATCACATTAGATCCTCCTTCATCGTACTTTCAAGATAAGTTTCGCCATCGTCAGCAGAGAGATATGTACATAATTTTTAAATGATTCATTCATGTAGAATAGAAGTTTTTACGTACAAAAAAATTCATTGAAAAACCTAGGGAATTCGATAGAAAATCCTATTAGTTTTTGGTCAATTCTATTGAAGAATTCGAAAGATTCACTGCGTCTTTTTTTTCTCTAAAATAATTCTCATGAGATTGACATTGAATTGGATTTAGGGGAAAAATGCTTACGAAATTTCACAACTTGATTGAATTTTCATTGGAACATGAATATTCAGAAACAAAATGACATGAATTTTCAATTTTTCCCTGAATTTTCTGAATTTTCACAGAATAATTGAACAGAAAAATTAAGTAATTTATTGATTTCCAGATCAGTTGAACAAAAAATCAATGGAAAATTTAATTTTTCAATGACAATATTTCCCGAAATTTCAGTGGAACTTGAACCGATAAAAATTTCAGAAACTTGGCACGGAACAGTCAGACGATAATTTTCATTTGTGTAATAAGAATCCACTGGAATTACCCAGCGAAATCGCTATATTCTTCTATAAAAATATTCCGTCCGTCCCTTACAATTAAAGTTACGTGAAATCTTCCTTTTCTCCCAGGCATGAAAAAATTCAATAGAAAACCTAGCGAATTCCCTAGAAAATTCTATTGGAATTCTATAGAAACCCCCATAGAATTCCTACAGAATTCCAATAGAATTTTCTAGCGAATTCGCCAGGTTTTCTTTTAAATTTTTTCATGCGTGAAATGACATGATTTTCCAATTTCTCCCTCAATGTTCTGAATTTTCACAGAATAATTGAACAGAAAAATTTCGGAAATTTGCGCACGGAAAATTCAGACAAAAATTTTGATTTGTGTAATAAGAATCCACTGGAATTACCCAGCGAAATCGCTATATTCCTCTATAAAAATATTCCGTCCGTCCCTTGCAATGAAAGTTCCGCGAAATCTCCCGTTTCCCCGAATTGTGATAAAAAAATGTCATCAATCCCGCAGCCAAACGGAAACATGCTGCTGGTGGGAATCGGCGGCAGCGGAAGGCAGTCATTGTCCCGCCTTGCTAGCAACATTTGTGAGTTAAGTCCATTTAATATCGAGGTGACCAGGCGCTACGGTGTTCCCGAGTTTCGAGAGGACTTGAAGCGTCTCTACTCCCTAGTTGGTGTCGATAATACACCCACATGTTTCCTCTTCAATGATACTCAAGTAACAGTGGAACACTTTCTCGAAATAATCAACAACATGCTTGGCACAGGGGAAGTTGCTAACTTATACAAATCCGACGAAATGGAAGATGTAAGTTCCCCCACTATTTGTCCTCTCCCTGAACAAACTCCATTCAATTTATCGCCGGGGTGTTTGGCAGTAAAGCGATAAGGGATAAAATCCCAATCTCCTAACATCCTTGTAATCCTGACAGATTAGAAACCGCTTGACGAAAGAGGCGAATAAAGCTGGAGTTTCACCAACCCTAGAATCTATTTACCTCTTCCTGATTAATCGTGTACGAGTTAATCTTCGCATGATACTCTGCATGAGTCCTGTTGGCGATAATTTCCGTAACCGCTTGCGGCAGTATCCCTCTCTCATAAATTGCATGACGATAGATTGGTTCCTTCCTTGGCCGAAGGACGCTCTGTTAGAGATAGGCAACAAGTTTCTTATGAATCTTAGTTTGATTAGCACCATCGCTGGAGAAGACAAAGTGGTAAGTACGAGTTTGATAATGAGGAACTTCCACGGCTCTTTTTATTTTTGCGCTCGAAACTTTGAAAGGTCAATGAGCCGTGTCTACACGGAGAGAAATCTCTCTATATAAATAAAAAATAAGGCGAAAAATTCAGGGGATGCATCAAGTTCAGGGATGTCTATATGAGGGGGTGGTCATAAAGGGGATATCGATATTTACGAAGGATTACTATATTAGGGGGTGCTCATATGGAAGATGTTTATGGGTACGGTACACCGCTGCGGTCACACGGCCGGGGGGAAGCGAGCGAAGCGAGCGGGCTTCGCCCCCCCCCGGGTTGGCGAGCGGAACGAGCAGGGGGCGATGCCCCCTAATATTCAATAAAAATTATTTACGTATCTTCCGTAATTTCGGAGGGAAATGTGGTTGTAGGAAATTTTACGGAACTGTCACGTAATTTTTACCTAAAATCACGGAATTTTTCCGGAGCGTTCCGTAATTTTTTTATGAATCTCCCGTGAAAGATGACGATACTGTCACTTGAAGTAGCTCTACCCTTACGGCAAATTCAAAGATTATTGAAAACTGCAAAAAATTGCAGAAAAATCGATTAGATTCGGAATTCTAATTTTTTCTCAATTAAATTATCGTTTTGGTTTTTCAAGGAAGAAATGTTTAAAAATCAGGATTTAACCCAGGGTCTTATGTGAAAATCAACATTTCCATTGTAATCAAATTTGTGGAAATTCACTCATTCTAATTAAGAAGCCAAAATTTGTGATCTTTTTGAAAAACTATTTCTAAAAAGAATACGTTGGGGATTTTTCAAAAGTTGACTTTGCGATCTTTTTCACTCAAAAAATCATTGATCACATGTTCTAAATGTGTCTAAAGTTTCATGACTTTGGCTGCATTTTTTCCTTGGGTTTTGCAGTTTTTTTTTGTGATTTCCATAACATAACGGGTTAAATGACCACTTTTTCAAAAATTCTTAATAAATTAACCATGCTCCCCAGCAGTCTGAAACTTTGCACACGCCTTTACCATCTTTTAAAGAATACGTAAAAAAATGGCTGCTTTCTTTCCAACCCTCCGGGCTCGCCCGGTTATCCTTAAGAACACCAAGCTCCATGCAAATTCCCCATTCTCCGTAAAGGAAAAACAAATCAACTGTCAACTTTTCTTCTCATCGATTACCACATTTTTTCTATTTCTATTATTGAATAGGAGCCAAGAAGGTCGGAAACTGCAATTCCCATTCTACCTCTTCAAGAACGAATGCGGTATGCCATCTCCTCGACGTTCGCACTCATTCATGACTCAGTCGTTCAATATTCCGTAAAAATGTTGACTGAGATGAAACGGCATAACTACGTGACACCTTCGAATTTTCTGGAGCTCGTTGTTAGATACAAAAAGTTGGTATTCTTTACGAATAAACATCACTTCATTTTACTCGTGCAATTGTGTTCTCTACGATTCCAGGATGTTAATGTCTAAAAGACAAAGACTTGCTGAACAATCAGACAAACTTGGTGGAGGTCTCTTCAAGATTGACGATACAAGGGAGAAGGTGAACGAGATGGCAAAGGAGTTGGAAGTGATGCAGGAGCAAGTTCTCAAGTCAACAAAAGACTGTGAAGAATTTCTCGTGACAATAGTTAATCAAAAACGAGATGCCGACGAGGCGCAGAAGAGCATCACAACCAGATCTGTGAAAATAACTGAGGAATCCAAGGAGTGTAGGAAACTTGAGGAAATAGCGCGGGCCGATCTTGCCGCTGTTGAGCCAGCACTCGAAGAGGCCATGAAAGCACTCGATACACTCAATAAAAAGGATCTAGCTGAAATCAAATCGTTTGCGCGGCCACCACCGAAAGTGGAAATTGTCTTGGAGGCTGTCATGATACTGAAAAATTCGGAACCAACGTGGAGTGAATCGAAGAGACAGCTGGGTGATGTTAACTTCTTGACAAGTGTAATTTGTTCTATTACTATTACTCATTTACTTTATCATGTCCGAAAAAAAATCCTCAGGCATTTGCTTTCCCGAAAATCTATCGGAATAGTCCAGAAATTTTAAAAATTCAGCAGAGAAGATAAATTAAGTTGTCGCGAGAGCAATCTTACTGTGTAAAATTATGATAAATTTTCCCTATCTGCAAGGAGATGAAGGACTTAATCCTTCTCACGTAATTATATGGCTAAATAATGCCTATTTCGGGAATTTTCACGGAAATTCAGCTGAAACTGAGGGAAGGAGTGACCTTTGCCTTTTAATTTCAGAAACTTTATTGAACTGAACCGTGCTCTTTACCGAATCGGTGATATTTATGAGTTTTTGCGGTTCTTGCGGTTGCCCTCCGCATCTCGAATGTCCTGTTCAACCATTGATGGTAGTAAATATGGATAGTCGATTTTTTCCGTCCAATTTACCATTCTCAAATTGTTGATTTTCCTGGCCGAAAGGTCATACATGTCGGAATGAAAATAAATAGTGTTTAAGAAGACGTCCATCCCATCGTTAATTGAAATTGGTGTTAATTCAAAAATTTTCAGCTTCGAAACTTCGACAAAGATCACATATCGGATAAAACCTTGAAAACAATTGGGAAATATACGTCCAATCCAGAGTTTGACCCGGAAAAAGTCGGTCAGGTGTCGATTGCAGCGAAATCTCTGGCCATGTGGGTAATCGCTATGGAGAATTATGGCAAACTCTACAGGTAAATTGTTATAAATATCATAAGTGCCATATCCTTTCATAACAATAAATAGTAGTGAATCAAGTATATTTTATACTCGAATGGGGAATGGGCGTTTCAATTCTCGGATGATTATTTCGTATCAGTCCGGGTTGTACCAAGCGCTTTCAAGTGTAATATAAGGGTCAGCCACTGAGTGTGAGAATATAAGGGTCAAAAAGTGGAGGTTAAAAAATGCGGGTCGGGATATTAGAGTCAAAAACTGAGGGCCTGAATGTAAAGGTGAAGGAATGAGGGTCAGAATGTTAGGGTTAAAAAAAGAGGGTCAGAATATTAGGATAAAAAAATTAGGGTCAGAATATAAAAGTAAAAAAAGGGGGTGTCAGGCAATGAGGGTCATATAAGGGCTGAAAACGGGGATCAAGCATAATATATGACTTATATTTAGACCCTCATTGCCTGACACCCACTTTTTTTACTTTTATATTCTGACCCTGATGTTTTAACCCTAATATTCTGACCCCCATTTTTTAACCTCCACTTTTTGACCCTTATATTCTGACACTTAGTGCCTGACCCTTATATTACACTTAAGAGGGCTTGCTACAACCCGGCCAGATGCAAAACAATCATCTTCTAATTGAAATAGCCATCCCCCAATTGAGTATAAAATATACTTGATTCAAACGTATTTCAAATATATTTTTGATTCAAATATATTTTTTCCGTGAATGGTAAATTGTAAAAAACAATTCAACGGTTTTTAATGAGTTGCGTGAACAGAAACAAAATAATGCGAAGTAAGAAAATTATACGAAATTCAATGATAAATTTTTGGAGATACCAAAATCCTTCGAAAAAAAGGTGACTGTACTGTGCTCTCACTTATCGGGACGCGTACGAGGCAGACAACTCTGAACAAAAGTATAGATGGAAAAAGTTTTATAAAGAACAATCTCAATCTATTACCCGCAGAGTGATTCCTTTACTTGCATAGTTTGTTTCTATGAAGGGTCCGCATGAAGAAAACAGGTCGATTTCCGATAGTCGTTTCCAATGAGAGTTTTGCGGTGACGATGGTGGGATATGACACATATTTGGTACACAGTGGAGGCGGGGCCTGTCCCCCCAGCGGGGAATACCGCTCACCAACTTTTTTCCACAGCATTTTTTACACTCTTTCTCTTTCAATATTGAGGATCCAATGTCAGAAAGTGTTTGCCCCCAACAATTTGACACATTGACGGTTCTTAACGGCAGAAACATCATCCTTTGACATTTTTAGGTCCTCACAGCGTAAAATTTTTGGAAGAGGATCTAAGATTTTCTTTCTGAAGACCGATTTTTTTGCGAGAACTCCATTTTATTTATTATATCCAAGTATTATGGATTTTTAACGAAATTCGCTGAAAGTTCATGCAAGAACCTCCAGCTGGAGGTCCTATCGCCCGAGGTTCTTCAGTCAAACACACTCGAAAAAAGTTAATGGAATAACTCGGTGAATTCGTTTTTAAGAAATTCAATAAATTCTATTGGATTTCTATTGAACTTTCTATTAGTTGTTCGCCGATTTTATCGAAATCTTCAGTAGAAAAGGTCAATATTATGCTACATATGACCTTGAATGAACCTTATGAACATATGATCCTTTGAAAATTATTAACATTTAGAATTAATCCAAATTATTTTAGGAAAGAAAATCTCAAATTTGAAAAAATTGAAAAATAATGAAGGGTGTTCATTCAAGGTTATATGTAGCATAATCATCTCGTGATTCGATATCATCATTGTGGACGCTCATAAAAGAATAAATTCTTCCCCCAAGAAAATGATTTCATAGCAAAAGTAATTTTTGTGCTCAGTGTACTAGAATCACGCATGAAAAAATACAATAGAAAACCTAGTGGGGATGCGCTAGAAAATTCTATTGGATCCTATTAATTCCAATAGAAAAAATCTCAAGAGAAAAATTCAAACAGAAATTCAAAATCTATTGGCTTTTTCAAAAAATAACTAGAATTTTTCAATAGAATTCAAATGGAAATCTTATAGAAACCCCATAGAATTCCTATAGAATTCCAATCAATTTTTCTAGTAAATTCGCTAGGTTTTCTATTGATTTTTTTCGTACGTAATCGCCCTGATCATCACTGATTTTTTGGAGGTATTTCCAAAAATTGGTTACAAAATTCTGAAGAGCCCTCACAAGTCCTCGAAACTCAAAACTTTGTTTTCTCTGTGCCCATTCCGCCGGAAAAAATTTTAAAAAAATCACCCGAAAATTCTCAAGAAATTTTATTCCCTATTCCCCCAGAATTATAGCACCAAAGAGAGAAAAACTCGCATCAGCCCTGGAATCTCTGCATGAAAAGGAGAGGATCCTAGCTGATGCTATATCCCAATTGGAGAAGTTGCAGAGTGAATTGAAGAGACTCCAGAAAAATTACGACGAAAAAATGAAGGAGAAGAAGGACCTAATTAGACTGGTATTGATCCTCCTACCTATCTCGTCAAGCACATAATAAAGATGTGGAATAACCCTTCGAGGGTTCTATTCACTCCGTAACTCCGAAATTGGATAAAATGAATTTTTTTCCCATCCACTGAACAACAGGCTGAGGATCTTGAATTGAAATTGAAACGCGCTGCAATGTTGGTTGATGGCTTATCCGGGGAACGCCTCCGTTGGCAGAAGACCCTTGAAATTCTCGCTGAGCATTATGAACGTTTACCTGGTGATTGTCTTATATCGAGTGGTTGTGTGTCCTATTTGGGTCCTTTCGTATCAATTTATCGGGACCAATTGCTTAAGCTTTGGGTAGACGAGGTAAGAATAGTATTTTACCTAACAAGTTGGTAAATAACATTTTGCAATACTTGCACGAAAAGTCCACTTTTCGCACGGAAATAAAATATCCTCGAGTGCGCTATATAATATTCTGAAATCAGGAATAATATTCCGTAATCCGAAATACTTCACCCTCAATTCCGGAATAATATTCCGTAATCAGAAATATTGAATTCTCGATTCCAGAATAATATTCCGGAATCCGGAATATTTTATCCTCAATTTCGGAATAATATTCCGGGGACTTCCTCGCATTGAAATATTGTACGTTGCGTCTATAAGAGATGGCATTTACTGACGACGGGCCGTCCGAATTTAACCCTAGACTGGTCACCATGCGAGGGAATATGCCGCAACACGTCGTTTTATTCACCTTGCCATCGACTGGTTGACCGGAAAAATTGGAGAAAAATTGAATTCGTCAATTGAAGCATCTGGAAAATTCTAGTATTTTTTTAAAAATATTGTATCCTTAATTCTGGGAGAAAAAAAATTATTTCCAACGGGTGAACAATTTTTTCCCGTGTTAAATGTAATTGCCTGTTGCGCGACGTTGCTGGGAACTCGCTAAACGCGCCCGGGAAGTGTAGAGTGGATTCGGCAACGCTGGAGCCTAAATAACACGGCAGCGCTCTCCCGCGAAGGTGACTAAAATCGCGTTTTCCCGTCAGGTGACCAGACTTGCACTTCGTCGCAGTATAATTATGTCACTTTTTTCTTTTCCTTTCCTTTCCTTTTTCCTCTTCTCTTCGAGTCATCAATTGACGTACTCTATCATCCAGAGAATGAATTTATCCCAATATCGACTGAGAATCCATTTGAAAATTATATATGCCGGATTCTGGAATATTATTCCGGAATTGAAGATAAAATTGCGGGAGGGAGGTGTGTAGGGCTCGTCGATGGTCAAAGAACATTTTTCCCACGAGTGTCAGACCGTGGAGTTTTGTGCGTAGTTTCACTTTACGCACAAAACCCCAATAAAAAAAATTATACGACTCGGCCCGAATCATAATATACTGTTTCATCACAGTAAAAACGAATGTCTGAATTTCACACATCTTTTGTAGACATTTTTTAGACGCTAAAAAACTTTTTTTTTTAATCATTATTTTACATCGCTTCGACCTGGTTAGGGTATACTGCAATGATGATCAAGACTTTAAATGGTTAGATCGCACCATTCTACCCGGCCGAGGCAACAAACTTACCCACTGCGCCAAGCCACCGGACGCTTGAAAAAAAAAAAAAAAAAGTGAATAAAATGAAAATTTGTCTGAATTTCAAACATGATTTGAGATATTTAGCCACCTGTTCGCCTGAAATTCAGAAAAATTTTCCTTTCATTCAGGCGTTTTTTAGTGTCTGAAAAATATTTAGAAAAGGTATGTGAAATTCAGACGTTCGTTTTTGCTATGATCGCGCAGTGTATAAAGTGACATTTTTCACACCCTCCCCGTGAAAAATACGGATTACGTACAATTATTCAATAAAAAAACAAGGTTTACAACTGAATTAATTCCTCAGTTTGTTTCGTAATTTTCGTTTGTCCAATTACGGATCAATTCCCCCCCAAAAAGAGAATAAATACCCCGTTGGCTACACAACGATCTACATTTTATGTCCGTTTTATTTTGCTCTCGTATTTTCCTGATAAATTCTACAAAAAGCACGATAGTTGGCTGCGTTTGACGGTAATATCTGCAGGCGTGGTACCAGTCGAATGTTCCTCCCCTTTCTCTTGTATTTCTATATCCATTCTTGGTCACATGTATTACCCACCATTTACATGAACATCCTTTTGAATTCCCGAAGGTCATGACAATGGAAATCCCGCTGTCAGTCAACTTAGACATCACCGAATTCATGAGTGACTCGACCACAATTAGAGAGTGGAATATTCAGGGTTTGCCTTCTGATAATTTCAGCACGGAAAACGGAATTATTATTACACATGCCATACGATGGCCTCTTGTCATTGATCCTCAGTGCCAGGCTGTTAAGTGGATCAAAAATATGGAATCTGAAAATGTGAGCTGTCTTGATCCAAAAATTTTTAACACCAACTTGAGAGAAGCATTTATCTCCAATGATTATTTATTTTTCCTAAATTTCATATTTTCCACAAGTAAGAATTTCAACTAATTTTTTAGCCCGGGTTTACTATCTTTTAAATGTTATCTGGATTTTTTTTATCTTTCGTAATCCAAAATTCTCAATTGAGTAGTACATCATGTAGATATTCCCAAAAATTATGATAGAATGATTAAAAAAATAGAAAAAATTCTGGACTTTTTAAAGAGCGTTTTTAATTGAGATTCAGAATGAGTTGAAAAAAGTGGAAATTACAAATATTTGATTCGCTGAGGCAAATTATCTATTAGCTGTCATTTTCCATGGTGGATAACAAAACACTAACTCCTCATGGGAAGTGACAGCTAGGTATCTCAATTTTCAAAACAGTGGTATGTAGTCATCTGCCATTTTTATGTGATAAAAGTGTGATTAAAAAATTCTCCAAAATATTACAACTTTTTTCAAAGAGCCTTTCCCGTAATAAATGTCTCTGTGCAGTGTCGGAAAAGATTTACGAAATCAGTCTTCCCCTGCATGATATTGGGTGACAGGCCGCCACTTGTCACCGTAAATCAGATACATTTTTCAATTTCTTGTTATACAACTTATTCTGAATATAAATTAAAAATGCTCTTTGAAAAAATTCAGAATTTTTTCTACTTTTTTTTGATTATTCATTAATAATTTTTCAAAACTTCTGCATGATGCAGGACTTAATTGACAATTTCAGATGACCAAAGATGAAAAAAAAAACATCGAGATAACGTTCGAAAGATAGTACACCCGGGCCTTAATCTTTATAATTATTGGTCAAGGTTATAGCTGACATGAACATCTTCTAGAGCAATATAATTGTCATAATTGAAACCCAATGAGAATTGCCTGGGAATGACTCGACTGGAGAAAAACGATATTGAAAAAATAAATACTTCTCTCAAGTAAATAAAGTGCATCAAATTCCAAAATTCTTTTAATGCTCAGTAACCTGACACTTGAGTCATTCATGTCCGCGTCAGGCAGGCACAAGTTGATGACGGGGTCGATGTTTAAAAAACTGGAAGAAAAAAAAATTAAGAAAACAGATAACAATACTCTAGAATCCCTTACACAAGCCCAGATTTTAGTTATATTCTTACAAGAAGATAAGATAACCGGAAGGTTTATTGACGGAAGTTCGAGTTTAACAAAAGTTGAATTATCCAGGTTTTTTTGACGTGTTCATTGATGATTATCAGAAAGAAACCCCATCTACGCTGTGTAATTATTCCAGTTTAGAGTTCGATTCCATAAAATAAAACTTGTTTGCTTTTTGATTACCTCAAGTAGATCAGAAAAGTAAAGCTCAAATAATTGGGTTTCCCATGATTTATTTGAGATAAAGAAAAACAATACTACACAGAAAAAGATAAACCTGAATTACTTTTATGTCACTCGGCCAAAAAAGTATTTTCTGACTCATGTGATTATAATCCAATTCGTCAAAAAATACTTTTCAGACTTTGTGACGAAAATTACTATTGCGACGTCGTCTTTTACGCATTTTGAAGGGAATTTTACGATTACATAAACGTCATTTACGATTTCGTATTCGTAAATTACGATGATTTTTTTTTTCATCTTTTACGTTTACTTATACGTTTACTTACGTTTGCTTATCCGTAATTAATGACAACGAAAAAAACAGTTATTTTAAGCGTAAAATACGATGTTCTCTTCGTAAATTACGGATAAGCAAATCGTAAAATAAGTTTCTATTAAGATCGTAATTTACGATTTCTTAAGCGGGAAATACGCTCAGTGAAACGTAAAAGACGCTTTGTTTGGGTGTAATTTACGTTTTTATTTTCACCGTAAAAGACGCCCTTTTAAAGCCTAAATTCTGATTTTCGTGATGGAAAGAAAATTACCAGATATTATGCCGACGTTAAGGGAAGAAAAAAATTTTTTTTTCAATTGTATTTTCGTTTTTCGAGAAGAAACAAATTTTTTAAATTGTATTTTCCGTGAGATATTTCCTCAGAAATCTGATTTTGTAGGTCAAATTTATCTCCAAATGCTAAAAATTGGAGATTCAAATTTTTTTTAATCAAAAAATCAACTTAAAAAAAATCCCCAACGTAGTTTTTTACTAAATAGTTTTTCAATGTGAGGGAGGATACATTTTTAAGTTTATTGGACACCAAAAAAATGTCGCTGTTTTTAATGGATCGATTATGTTCTCGAAATTTTTTATGACGTTTAATTAGAAGGAGTGAATTTCCACAAAAAGAATGGAAAATTAGTGGAAACCGTATAAAAAATGCGAATATAATCCGAATTATAGAGAGGAAGTGCACTGGCGAAATCTGGATTACTGAGAGGAGCCCTCCCAACTATAGAGTAGTAAAAGACTAAGTACAACGACTAAGTATGACGACCACGAAATATAAAGGTAGCATTAATCAATGAAGATTATCCATAATATTTGGGCAGATAATTTTATTTCTTGAGATTCTAATAGAAATTTTGATAAATGAATAAATTTCAAAATGCGTCTTCTCCCCACTTTTTACAATTGAGAAGCAAAAATTTATGATCGTATTCCAAAAACTATATTTTTTAAATACGATGGGAATTAGTGTTAAGTTGACTTTTTGATCAAATCAAATTTGAATCCCCAAATTGAAAAAAAAATTGAAAAAAATCATGAATACTCAGCGTCAATGAAATGACCTTTTACACAGAATTATTATTTTTTAAAGATTCATTGTTTATAAGTAAATAATTAAAATTGTTTCGGAAATCTTTTTTTTCAGGCATGAAATCGGTTTCTGATAAAATGCTGAATTTGAATAAATTTGAATAAATTAAAGGTTTCCAAACTTCTCCTTAAGCAGGACTCAATTGACAATTTCAGATGACGAAAGATGAAAAAAACCATCGAGATAACGTTCGAAAGATAGTACACCCGGGCCTTAAATCGAATAAAAAATGTGGTGCAAAACCATGTCGGACGTGTTCGCCTCATGTGGGGCATAAAATGGACTCAGTCTAAATTATTTCGCTTCTCCAGATACCCCACAACACCCAAGAGTCATTCGATAGCTATTTTCCTCAACCAAAGACTTTCAAATTTCCCCTCGGTACCCCCTTAATTAATTTTTTTTTTCACCCGACTTGAGCGCTCGAGGATTTGAGACGATCGATTCGCCAAAGCGGCCAAGGACACGAATGACTCATAGGTGGGGCTTAAGGGTGGAATGAATCAATACATAGAGCCCATTTAAACAATGAACAATTTTTTAATTAATATTTCAAGGGTCTCGAAGTTATAGATTTCGGCTCTCCCGATTTTGTGAGAACCCTCGAGCGATCACTGCAATCGGGCAAGCCAGTGCTTTTAGAAAATGTGGGTGAAACCCTCGATCCAGTGTTGAATCCAATTCTCCACAGAACATTAGTGAAATTAGGTTTGTCGAGTTGATTAAATTTTCTTCCGTCATCGCCGCAATTATTTCTTAATAATATTGAAATTAATGTTGAATTCATTAGGCGACGGTTTCGTCATGAAATTCAACGACAAGATGATCAGTTACAACGATAAATTCCGATTTTTCATCACGACGAAACTACCCAACCCGCACTATTCTCCAGAGATATCCACAAAGACTACATTATGTAACTTCGCCATTAAGGAGCAAGGTAAGACTAATGGACCCTCCTACACTGGCCTATCATGATTCCCGTGACAGGAGTTGCATGTACTTTGATGTTTCTTAGGTTTGGAAGCCCAACTCCTTGGCATCGTAGTTCGAAGGGAGAAACCACAGTTGGAAGAGCAAAAGGATAACTTGGTCCTTACGATCGCAAAAGGCAGGAGGACACTCCGAGAGCTGGAGGACAAGATTCTCCAGTAACTAATATAAACAAATTATTTTCTCATGAATTAAAATGTGGGGGGTTCTCCCACGGACTCGTATGGCGGGCATCTTTAGTACTGTACACTCACGGAATTTCATAGGGGAGGATGGGGCAAAACGGCCCCCCTTCAATCGTCAATATTTTCCGATTCAATAATCCGATTGGGATGAGTTAGAGCTCGTTTTGAAGAATGAAAAATTATCTTCAAAATGAAGTCAAAACTGGGAATTTTCACAATGTCATTCACAAGTTATTGACAATTGAAGGGGGGCCGTTTTGCCCCACCCTCCCCTAATTAAACAAGAGGACAATTGCATTTTTTATGAATGAGAATAGTTACTGTTGCTGATAAATTAGCAATTTGCTCTTTTTTTTTATTTCTTTTTTTATTTTGCTTTTTTTTTTGCTCTTTTTTTTTTATTTCACTATTTTTTTCTTCTATTTTTTCATGTCATAGTACTATCATCAATTGATGTCATCAAAATTTTGCGTATTATTTCGTTTTGTCAGATGATTCTACATTCAGATCCTCTCAAGACTCGAATTCGTTTTCAGTCAAGGTTTAATCAGTGAACAGCCGGGATTTAATCGGGGTTTATTCAGGATTTAGCCAGAGTTTAACCCAGGTTCTGTCAGAAGTTAGTCGGGACCATGAATCAACATGAATAAGTATTCAACATAATAGACTAGTCCCTGAGTTTAATAGAGATAGAGATTTTTATATAAAAAGCTCATGACGGTATTGTGTAACTTGATAAGCAATGATGGACTCACCATTTTTCAACTTGATTAAGAAGGCATTGAAATATACTTTTCAAGCCCTGATTTAATTGCTATTACTAATTATTCTTTCAGTAATCACGAAAAAACCGATTTTCTCTTTCAAATCGCATAAACAATGCGCTGTAACTCAACAACGAATTGTGGACCCCCATCATATTCTGATAGAATCAAGAGGGTACTGTTATCAATTTTTCGAGCCATGACTAATTCCATTTTGGTGACAATTTTTTGAGTGATTCCTGAAAAAGCGGTAAAACAGTTCAAGTCAATTCAACTCTCAGCAGATTTTTTTAGGCATATCTCCGAATCTAAGGGAGTTAGCCAAATTTTTGTACTTACCTTTTTTGTAGCTCTAACTTCGCTCTCCAAAAAATGTCCTAACAAAAATTTTGCAATCTGCCTTAGATTCCGAGATATTCATTGAAAACTAACCAATACTAAAAATCGGCTTAAACCGTTTTACGGCTGCGCTAATGATAACAAAAATTGGAATCTTAAATTAGAGTGATTCCAAAGCTGCCATTCGGAAGCAAAAATCCAATCCCATTATTTACCCCTGCAAGCATAAAAATATTAAGCTTTCATGTTCTGTGACATTCCAAGTGATAGCCCCGCAAAATTAGAGAATCGTAAAATATACGGTTGCCAATACTTCTATCGGCGGAAGCGAGCATCGGAAATTTGGAGACCAGATATATTCCCTCCCAGACATAAATTCGAAAGCATGATAAGCTCGTGCTTTTCCCACGGAAGGAAATACACACGATGTTCGTTCTTTATTCGCGGAAATCACGAATTAAAGTGATGGCGACTGGGGCGCAAGAGGGACGGGTAAACCCGTATGTAACTACCCCCCTAAGTGTCTTTCCAGATCAAACGGAAACAATCAATCTCCCGCGTCTTCCAAACGCAAAAAATTTCACAAGTTAAATTTTATCTCGTTTTTATATTCCAAGGGCACAGCTTTTTGTTTTTCAAGCGACGATATAATTTCAGATTACTCACTGTGGCATCGGGCCCTCTGCTTGAGGACCTAGACCTGCTCAACACTCTGCAGTCGGCAAAAGTCACTTCCGTTTCTGTCGAAGAGTCGCTGATTACTTCTGAGAAAACGGAGCAGGAAATTGACAAAGCGAGAGGAGAATATAGAACTTGTTCGCAACGCGCTGCCACTCTATTTTTCGTCTTGAACGATATGAGTCACGTCGATCCAATGTACCAATTTTCTTTGGACTCGTACATCGTACTTTTTAAAATATCCATTGACAAGAGTCCGAGGAGGGCCCAACTCAACGAGAGAATCGATATATTGAACGACTACCACACATACGCAGTCTACAAGTAACCGAATTGTTTAAGGATGTTTAGCCAAAAGCCACACTATTCACCGTAATTTTAATATTGTCTCGTATGCCAGGTTCACTTTTGAGCCACACATTAGTAATAATCTTGATCCTTCCATCGGGGCATCCTATAGTGAGAAATTAATTTCTGAAAATCACTTCTTGTAACATTACGCTTAGGGAAGAAACGTGACCGTGTGAACTTTGATCGAGATGTTGCATGGGTTAGACACTCAAAATATTGAAACAAAACCACAAGTCATTTACTTTAGACTATGGAGAATCTCTCGCCGGCGAGAACAAGTAGGGGACCGGGCCATATAGGCGTGATATCTTCGATTGATTTTCGAATTGCTCTAAAAAAAAATTGACCGCCGTTACGAGTCGAGCAACGCGACGACACCGCACAACAGCTGATCGAGGTCGGTAAAGTCGGTGACGATAATTCAGTGCTGGAAGCATATGGACACGTATAACACACACAAACATTCATCTCACTGTTACAACCCCACTACTAGCCGAAGCGTGCGATGTTGCCCGATCAAAATTCGACTGTTACCACTGCAGTCACAAGTCCTCCATTATTTATGAACATTTTCTTTAATTATTGTTTTTGAGACCGGAAAAGTACGCCATAACACTTCTAATTTGATGAGAAAAATAATTTGTAACATGAATGATTTATTTAGTCAATTTTATTTTTATTTTTAATTGAGTTGTGCACTTGATAGGTTCAACATTCTTAATGGAAAACCTAGCGAATTCGCTAGAGAATTCTGTTGGATTTCTATTGAACTTTTTATTAGGTTTTGGCCGATTGTATTGAAATGGTCAATGAAAATATTCTATTGAAAAGATAGTCAATTGAATTAGATGCCCGATCAAAATTCAACTGTTACCACTGCAGTCACAAGTAGAGATGCAAAATGACCGTCATTTTTTAGATCGCGTCATATGACCAAAACATGACGGTCATGTGACGCACAAATTTTCCAACTACAAATGATTGTCACAAATCATTTGTAACCAAATTGTTGTCAAACCATCTGTATAGTTGCATAATGACGGTCATAACTAATTTCCAATTTGTGACGGTCATGAATAAAACAAAATAGTTTCTTCTATATGGATGTAAAAAAATCGTGATTTCCATTTCAAAATGCGGATTGGGCCAATACAAAAGGAATTCAACTGAAAATTGACCGAGAAAAAAATAAAGTTTCATCTGTATAGATGAAAAATGACTGTCATTTTTTCTTGATAAGTTGCGACGGTCACAGAAGGGGGAGGAGGAATTGTGACAGCCGTCATGACGCCTCTTGAACATTTTGAACATTTTCTTTAATTATTTTTTTTGAGACCGGAAAAGTACGCCATAACACTTCTAATTTGATGAGAAAAATAATTTGTAACATGAATGATTTATTTAGTCAATTTTATTTTTATTTTTAATTGAGTTGTGCACTTGATAGGTTCAACATTCTTAATGGAAAACCTAGCGAATTCGCTAGAGAATTCTGTTGGATTTCTATGGAACTTTTTATTAGGTTTTGGCCGATTGTATTGAAATGGTCAATGAAAATATTCTATTGAAAAGATAGTCAATTGAATTAGATGCCCGATCAAAATTCAACTGTTACCACTGCAGTCACAAGTAGAGATGCAAAATGACCGTCATTTTTTAGATCGCGTCATATGACCAAAACATGACGGTCATGTGACGCACAAATTTTCCAACTACAAATGATTGTCACAAACAATTGTAACCAAATTGTTGTCAAACCGTCTGTATAGTTGCATAATGACGGTCATAACTAATTTCCAATTTGTGACGGTCATGAATAAAACAAAATAGTTTCTTCTATATGGATGGAAAAAAATCGTGATTTCCATTTCAAAATGCGGATTGGGCCAATACAAAAGGAATTCAACTGAAAATTGACCGAGAAAAAAATAAAGTTTCATCTGTATAGATGAAAAATGACTGTCATTTTTTCTTGATAAGTTGTGACGGTCACAGAAGGGGGAGGAGGAATTGTGACAGCCGTCATGACGCCTCTTGAACATTTTGAACATTTTCTTTAATTATTTTTTTTGAGACCGGAAAAGTACGCCGTAGCACTTCTAATTTGATGAGAAAAATAATTTGTAACGTGAAGATATATTTAGTCAATTTTTCTTTTCAACTGAGTTGTCCACTTGAAAGGGAAACATCCTGAAGAATAGAAAAGATGTGTGAATGCGATGGTTTTTTGTTGAATAGAATTCTACATTGCGTTTAATTCCCATGACGAATTGGAAGAAACTCTTTCGACACCGGAGGGAAAATATATGTTCCGAAGAGCGATACTTCTTTTAGTTTTTTTACGTAGAAATTATTCAAATCACTCCAAAGTGGTGTGAATACACTACGGTTGCGCCGTTGAGTGTATTCGGAAAAAGTAAATGCAAAAGCCAAAAAAAGCTACTCAACGTTGACAATTTTTTCCATTAATTCTAACTTTAATGAGTGGAAAAAATTGATCCATCAAATTCTTTTGGGATTTTTGTTCACACTACTGTAACACTCCGTTAAAAAAAACAAAGTCTTGAAAAATGCGGGAAAAAAGTAGAACAATCATAAAAAAAATATTTCGAACACAAAAAAGGCCAAAATAGATTCAGAATTTGTAATTGAAATATCTTTTTTTTTGTCAGTGATGAATTTTCTGCGAGAACAATACCTCAAGCCTAAATTACGTTTAGAAAAACGTAAACTACGCTTAGCAAAACTCATCGGACCTTTGAATAAAGGCCCCTGCGATTAAAAGATTTCCGTTCAGTCCCCCCTCAAGTCAGTGAAAATTTCAGAAATACATGCCAAGGATTATTCGAAAAAGACAAACTTCTCTTCTCCTTCAACATGTGTTCGAAAATCCTGGAAGCCCGAGGGGAGATGATCCCCCAAGAATACGATTTTCTTCTGAAAGGTGGAATAGCGCTAGAGCGTGAAAATCAGCCGGACAAACCTGTCGACTGGCTGACACGCGAAACCTGGGACAATCTCACAGAACTTGATAAACTTTCCGGCTTTCATGGAGTTGCCGGGTCTTTCGAGCAGTTCCCAAGGGATTGGCACAATTGGTAAGTTATTGGAATTTTCTCTATTTTGTGAGCATAAATTCAATTTTATCGCACTAGCTAGACAAATATTTGAAATATTTGATAAGAAAAACATGTAAAATGAATGTAGGTACATAAATACTGAGCCAGAAACGAAATCGTTGCCAGGAGAATGGGAGGAAAATCTCAATGAATTCCAAAAGATGCTTATCATACGTAGCTGTAGATTCGATCGCATGACGTTCTGTATCACCTCATTTATTATTCACAATCTTGGTCAACGATTTGTTGAACCACCTGTGCTGGATATAAAAGCAGCATTCAAGGATTCAATTGCCCAGACACCGCTCATATTTGTTCTTTCATCGGGAGTAGACCCTTCCAGTGCTCTATCACAATTGGCTGAGGGTCAGGGTATGAGTCATAAGTTTATGACACTGTCGCTGGGGCAGGGGCAATCACCAATCGCGAGGGGATTGATTCAGAAAGGGGCTCAGGAAGGCGCCTGGGTATTTCTCGCAAATTGCCATCTCTCTCTCAGTTGGATGCCCGAATTGGATAAAATTATTGAGAGACTTGCCAGTAATAAGACTCTACATCCAGATTTCAGGTATATTAATTGAATAGTTTGAATGGAATGATTGCACTGGAAAAACTAGTGTCTTGAGGACCTCTCGATTTTAGACACTGAAATGTGTCTTGAAATAACGGATTACTGACTGTGGAATATTGAGACAGAACAACAGATTTTTTTATGTCTTCAAATTTAACCCTAGTCTGGTCACCCTACGCGACCCAACGACTTGGTCACGTCCACGGGGAAGTGCCGCCGTGTTATTTAGGCCCGAAAGTTGCCAAATTCACTCTACACTGCCCGGGCGCGTTTAGCGAGTTTCCGGCAACGTCGCGTAACAGGGACTTTCATTCAACATGGGAAAAAATAATTCCTCTGTGAGGAAAAAATTGTTTTCTTCAGGAATTTCGAGAATTATGTTGTTCTGAAACTACTCTAATTTTTTAGATACTTTAATTGGAAAAGTCAAATTTTTTTGAATTTTTCCGATCAGCCACTCAATGGCAATTCAAGAAAAACGACGGGCTGCGGCGTTTCCCTCATGTGGTGACCAATCTAGGGTTAAGGGGAGACTCCGGTGAGTTTTGAACTCCACGGTTTATTGAAGTGAGGATCTCCCTGTATGATTATTTTTCCTACATTCTCTCAAAAAACAAGTGGAGAATTGCATTTTATAATAAATGAGTATAGTTATTATTGCTATAAATTAGCAATTGGCTCCCGAATGGGTTCTCTTTTTTTTATTATTATTTCACTATTCTTTTCTTCTATTTTTTCATGTCATAGTACTTTCATAAATTGAAATATCATCAAAATTTTGCGTATTATTCCGTTCTGTCAAATAATTCTATATTCAGACCCTCTCAAGACTCGAATTCGTTTTCGGGATTTAACCAGGGTTTATTCAGGATTTAGCCAGAGTTCAACCCACGTTCTGTCAGAAGTTAGTCGGGACCATGAATCAATATGAATAAGTATTGAACATAATAGACTAGTACCTGAGTTTAATAGAGATGGAGATTTTTATATAAAAAGCTCATGACGGTATTGTGTAACTTGATAAGCAATGATGCTGTTCTCACCATTTTTCAACCTGATTAAGAAGCCATTGAAATATACTTTTCAAGCCCTGATTTAATTGCTATTACTGATTATTCTTTCAGTAATCATGAAAAAACCGATTTTCTCTTTCAAATCGCATAAACAATGTGCTGTAACTCAACAACGAATTGTGCGACCCCCATCATATTCTGATAGAATCAAGAGGGTATTGTTATCTATTTTTTCAGCCATGACTAATTCCATTTTGATGACAATTTTTTGAGTGATCGTTGAAAAATCAATTTTTGGAAAAATGTAAATTTTTTCGCATCTGTATAAAAAAATTACTAATTTCATATTCATGAAAATTCTTATGAAATTCGATTGATCTCTTGTAAGAAAATTCCGAGAAAAAAAGGGAAAAATTGCAATTTTTTAATTATTTCGTCAATCCTTCTCCAAAAGTAAACATTCTAATTTTTTTTCAAATTTTTAAAATATTTTCTGACGATTCAATATCGAGATCTCATCGAGTCTCCGGGTAATTGTTTGTAGTTTTAAAAAACCTTCTAATTGCAAAATAACCCTACTATAATGAAAAAACTTTGAACACAGTGTCTAGAATGCTTGCCTCACGCTCTTAATTTGAGCCACCAAAAATGATTTCAAATCGGCGGCCCACAAACCTCTCAAAAATTAGGACAAAATTGTCTTCACTCGAGACACCATTCCCCCCAGTATTGTTCAACGAATTTTTCCTCCAGCTGTGAACTGTTAACAGAATCCTAATGTAAATTCTAGACTGTGGTTGAGTTCGAGCCCATCACCGCAATTTCCCATATCGATTCTTCAGGCAAGCGTGAAAATGACTACGGAACCGCCAAAGGGACTGAAAGCTAACATGAAACGCCTCTACGGATTAATCACAGAGGACCAATTTACCGTCTGCAAGGCAACGAGAAAATACAAGAAACTTCTTTTTGCCCTCGTCTTCTTTCACTCAATATTACTCGAACGCAGAAAGTTTCAGCAACTAGGCTGGAACATTATTTACAGTTTCAACGATTCCGACTTTGAAGTAAACCACACCGTCAGATAAAATATGCGAATGATAAGACAGAAAGGATTGAATCCACCGATTTTATGTATTTATTCAGGTCTCCGAAAATTTACTTGAAATTTACCTCGACGAGTATCCAGAGACACCATGGGAATCATTGAAATATCTAATAGCTGGAGTCTGCTACGGCGGTCACGTCACAGACGACTGGGACCGTCGCCTCCTCATGACCTACGTCCAAGAGTATTTCACAGAGGAAGTCCTCTCCCAATCCAACTACCGGCTCTCCTCTCTTCCCACCTACTACATACCCAGAGACGGATCTCTCCAGTCATACCGGGACTTCATAACAATCCTCCCAAATGCGGACAAACCCGAAGCATTTGGCCAGCACATCAATGCTGACATCAGCTCCTCAATCATCGAGACTCAAGCGGTATTCAACACTCTCATGAGTCTGCAGATGCAGATGGTCTCCACCGAAAAGAGCAGCAAGGAAGATACAGTCGTGCAAATGGTCGTCGACATGAAGACCAAATTGCCCCAGGAGATAAATTACGAAACAACAGAGAGGCTCATGGGACCGAGAAAAACGCCCCTGGATGTCGTTCTCCTTCAAGAAATTACTCGCTATAATAACCTACTCGTGAGAACAAGGTGTAGCTTGAACGATCTTGAGTGCGGCATCAAAGGGCTTGTTTTGATGTCTGAAGATCTCGAGGAGATATTCACTTATGTTCACGATGGCCGCGTGCCTCCTGCCTGGTTAACCACCTATCCATCGTTGAAACCACTCGGCTCGTGGACGCGTGATCTTGTCAGCCGAATCGAACACTTTGCCAAGTGGGCGGAAACCACTCATCCGCCTCTACTGTTTTGGCTTGCCGCCTACACCTTTCCAACTGGTTTTCTAACCGCTGTACTGCAAACATCAGCGAGACTGTGGAACATATCTATTGATTCGTTTTCTTGGAGTTTTGCTGTTTTAGATGAAAATGCTATTGTCGATACTCCAGCGGTACATATTGCTTTTACGTTTATTTTCTTCCTCCCTTATTCGTTATTTTTTGCATTCTTTTTGATGATAAAATGCACCCGGAGAAATGCTTTATCAGGATCAAATCAATATCTCTCTCCTTCCACTTTCTAGGAGAAGTTTTAGATGTGACGTAGCACCCCATGAATCAACTCCGTACTTCGGCTCTTTCTGATACGACTGTCTCTTTTTCTGGATGGAATCAATATTCTCGGATTCAAATCATTATCTTTTTATCGTGTGCCGAGGATTCGTCACTTTTCAATGAATGAATGAGGCTGTTCGTGTCGAATGGGTCAACAGCTGACTCACACTCTCGCGAAAGTTGACGGGAATTTTTTATGGGGCTCGGGAGTTTCAGAATCTATCATCTGAATTCTTTTCGGAACTTTACTATCGCCCGTCTATACAAAAACAAAGTCATGAATCAAGTAGACGAATGTGATTTGGGATGAGTAGAACTGAATCATGTCGGGAGAGTATTTCGTACTGCTGTCGATGGCTTGAGGGGTGTTTTAGTGAAGAATGGGGAAAGGTAATGCAGTCGAGGTCTGATGCGATTCAATTCAAGTCGAGTTGATACTTGATTCTACACTGTTGAAAAAATTTAACTGAATTTTCCTGAAAATTACACTGAATTCAATTTAACGGAAAAAAGTCTACATGAAGAGAAATGTTCAGTAAAAATTACGGAACTCACAATTCCCTCACCGATTACGGAATCGACTGAGGAAATTTAAGTGTATCATTTTTCACAGGAGATTCAGATAAAAATTACGGAAGGCTCTGGAAAAATTCTGTGACAGTTCTGTAAAGTTTTCTACAACCACATTTTTATTGAATATTTCTCTCCGTGTACGAAACTTCAAGTTTCCCTGAAAATTAAAGGGAATTCATGATTTTTCAGTGGAAGAACCATGAAGATTTCGAAATTTCCATGAATTTTCAATGTAAACATGATAATTCGATAAGAAACTGCTCTGAAATTTCAAAAAATTATAAATTTAAGGACATTTTTGTTTGAATTTTCGTAATTTTCACTAATTTTCAGGGAATAATTTGACTGAAATTTAAAATTTTCATGAATTTTACACGAAAACCACGAATTTTCAATGGTAAAATTCCCTGAAATTTCAATGAAACCGTCACTTGTTTCATATTTCAAGACTGAAATCTGGAAACTTCGTTGAAAATTTTTTAACAGTGTACACTAAGAGAAAAATCGACATAATATCACAAAAATCATTTCTTGAGCGAACAACATCGCAAACATATTTGATCAAATTATGGTAGTTTTCAGAGAAGAAATCGGTGCTCTTTGAGTTAAGAAGAAAGTTATTGAATGAAAAGATGATGTCTTTTTTCGAAATGAGATAATATTCCTTAAAAGACAAGAATAGTTTGACAGAACGAAAAGAAGATATTGCTTCCCTTCGAACTTTTTTTAGGCCGTATGACGAATAATATTTTTTTTTATCCTAACGGTTGTAAGCAGCGCTGCCTTACGGCCGGACTGAGAAAATAAACCATTTTACGGACAGTACGGTAATAAAAACCCTTCTGACAAGGGCGAGGCCGCAGTGCAGACCGAGGGTATCACGACTAAATAACTTTGCAAAAATAATTTCAACCATTATCAACTTCTACTAAATTCATTGAGACAATATCCACAAACGGATGAGCCAATGTGGGATTGTTAACATCCCCTAAAAGTCCCTAAAAGTCCCTAGGATTGATGAGGAAAATATTCGGCTACATAAATTCAGAATTATTGAAATATTCATAAGTAAAAATTTCATTATTAATGATAAATTCTGTTGATTTGTGGAAGAAAAAAAGTTGTAAATCCATTGAGCATTGAGAATTTTTCGGTATTTGATAGAATGAAAATAATTTTGTGTGAATCATTTTTATTTCCACGCGTTGAAATAAAAACCGCGTCATTTTTTTTTCAATTCTCTGTCTTTTGATGAATCCTCGCCATCGCAACTCGTATTCTCAATTTAATTGAGGGCAGGGCAACGCCCTGGATCTGTTGTATTCGTATAATCAACTTGTTCATAATTTCACAATTCCCATTGTAAATTTTCCGGAAGTCTTTATATAATATCGATTACACTCCCAAAAACAGAACATTTATTTGCATAGAGGGAGTGGGGTGGAGTTAAAAGCAGGGCAGAATGAGACCAGGAGGCAAAATCCGACCCGCACTCAAATTCAGATTTTACATCATTTGAGACAGCACAGGGAGGGTCCCTGAGAGGTTCACAAGGCCGGGTTAACGGAGAGTTAAACGCGAAAGGATCAATATCAAGGATTGAGCCTCATGTTCCCGAAGAATTCAAAAATTGAATTATTTTGGAAAATTAATAATTAATCTACGTCAAATAAATCGCGTGAAATTAGTTAAATCGAACTGCCACCTGACATTATCATTCGTCGTCTCTTGCGTGTACGTAGGGCGGGCAACACCCTCGTTCGTTGTCATCTCTTCTTTCCGGTGAATTAATTCAGTAGTCAAGTTGTACAGGGTAACCGAGTTCATTCCTCCCATCTCCCTAAATTGTGAGATACCTCGCCAATGAATGTTTTTCAAAAAGAAACATGAGAATATTTTCGAGGTAAATTATTGTGGGTTCGGAAGGAGGCCCTTGAAAAAATCTCAATTACAAGCAAATGGAAATGTTATGTGGATTCCCATGTGCCGTTACGCTCGGCTGTTATTGGGGGATCGATAGGTACAATGTAACGAAAATGTTGAATTCATTTCCTCAGTCGTCGCCGTTTCACTATTGCATTGCCGGTAGAAATGACAATTCATTAATTTTAATTAGAAAATTGAGGATGTTTATCAAAAAGTTCAGGACTTGAAAAAAATTCTTTTCTTTTTTTAACACTGGTCTGGTCACCCCGTGACTCGGAAACACTGTTAGAATTTTTTTTTATTTCAGGGAAACGATGACAGTAATTCTCATGAGAGTGACATGAATCGGATTTAGGGGAAAATAGTTATGAAATTTCAAGTTTTCGGTAGAATTCAAAGAAATTCATGAGTTTTCAGAGGGGCGAGATGTAAATTTGACTTCATTGAATTTTCAATGGAATTCATGGACGAAAAAATTTAATGGAAATCCTATCGAATTCAATTTTTCTATATAACTTATTCTTATCGTATATTTTCTGTAGAATTTGCTCGACTCAAATTTTCCAAGTTTTTTCGTTTGATTTTCTTGATGAGAAGAAAAGAAAAATAGAATGAAAAAAACTTAGAAAATTTGAGTCGAGCAAATTCTACAGAAAATATACGATAAGAATAAGTTATATAGAAAAATCGAATTCTGTTGACTTTTTCTCTAAAATGTTTTCTATTGAACATGTCAATGGAATCAGCCAAAAACTAATAGAAAGTTCAATGTAAATTTAATAGAATTTTCTGACGAATTCGATAGGTTTTTCTATTAAATTTTTTCGTGCGTGTGTTGATCCAAAATTGCCAACACCTGAAAAAATGTCAACTCTTTCTTTAACTGATGGGGGGAGTTATCTCCTGGATTTTCATGAAAATTTTAGTACACGAACTCGAGTTGATTACTCAGAAATGGAACAGGCAATATATGATGAGTGCAAGTATTAGCATACGGTTATATGGGAGTTAAAGTTCTAAATATCTGCATTATTTGCCTGGGCATCCCAGGTTTCCCTGGAAGTTGGATCCAATATATTTTCTCACATTGCGTTCTATTTTTGATGCCATTTTTTGAATCTTCCAGATGGTAAATTATCAATTTAAAAATAAATCCCGCAAGAGTCTGTTTTAAAAAAGAACATTCGTTAATTTAATTTCGTCCAACCATCAGCAACTAATTTTTATTAATTACCAGAAATGTTGGTTTCAGAGATTCGCTCATCAGTCCAGAAAAATTACAGAGTGTTCCTTGAGGTCCCCCCAGAGAGATGCTTTTCCCAAACATCTCGATAGCTCTATAACAGACGAACGGAAGTGTTATGTGGATTCCCACATTCTGATAAGCTTGTCTGTTATTGAGGGATCGATAGGTACAATCTAATAAAAATGTTGAAGTCATCTTTTTACTGCTCGCCGATCCACTATTACATTATTAATAGAAATGATAAAATTAATTTCTTCGAACATTAAAGATGTTTACCCAAAATCTCAGACACTTAACTAATTTTTAATTGAGTGCATCAACCCGCTTTGATTTCTCATAAATAGAATATTCCAAGTTTTCCCTGGAAATTGGATTTAATATATTTTTTCACATTATTTTCTATTTCTAATGAAATTTTTTGAATTTTCCAGAAGATGAATTGTCAGTTTGAAAATAAATCCCGAAAGAGCCAGTGTATGAGGAAAAATTTGTTAATTTGCTAATTTTCTTTGTTAATTTGTGAATTTTCCTTCATTATCAGAAATGTTGATTTTATGTTCCCACATGAATCCCGAAAAGTTACAGAATGTTCCTTGAGTCCCCCTGGAGAGATGCTCTTCCCAACCATCTCGATAGCTCAATAACAGACGAACGTAAGTGTTATGTGGATTCCCACATTCTGATAAGCTTGTCTGCTATCGAGGGATCGATAGGTACAATCTAATAAAATTGTTGAATTCATTTCCTTATTGTTCACCGATCCACTATGGTATTACTAATAGAAACGGCAATTAATTCCTTCGAAAGTTAAACAAGTTTATCTAAAATTGCAATTTTTGATAGAAAAATTCTACGGGATTTCTATTGTCTATTTGTTTTTGGCAGATTTTATTGACATGTTCAATAAAAAATATTATACAGAAAAAGGCAATTGAATTTGATTTTTCTATTCAACTCATTCTACTGAGATATTTTGGACAGAATTTCCTCGGCTCAAATTTTCTAAGTTTGTTCGTTTGATTTTCGTGATGGAAAGAAAAGAAAAAAGAATGAAAGAGACTTGAAAAATCTGCGCCGAGAAAATCCTATAGAAAATATCTCAATTGAATAAGTCGTGTAAAAAAATCGAATTCTATCAACTTTTTCTGCAGAATATTCCAATAGAATCGGCCGAAAACTAATATAAAAAGCAAAAAAATTTAGTATTTCTAAATCTGATGAAAACAATAATAGAAAATAATAATTTATGATCATCTATTAAAATAAAAAAATTAATTTTCAATTTATAATAATAATAGAAAATAATGTTTTTCTAGTATCATCAAATCTAGTATTTTTTTGTTAATCTGGTATTTTGGAATACTAAAGTTCAATAGAAATCCAATACGATTGTCTAGCAAATTCGCTAGGTTTCTTTCAGGAGCTAAAGTTTTAAATATCTGCATTATTAGCCTGGGGATCCCCAGTTTTCCCTGGAAGTTGGATTCACTATATTTTTTACATTGCGTTCAATTTTTAATTCCGTCAATTATCATTATTAATTCATCAATTATCATTAACAATTTGAAAAGTAGAAATTGTTAATTTCATTTCGTCGAAGCCACGGCAACTAATTCCTCTTAATTATCATAAACGTTGCTTTCACCTCGTTTTTTTCCTTGAACATGAAAAAATTAGATCCTCGAAAATGGACTAACACCTTTACCGCACTCGGTGAGATGATCAATACAGTTTTTCCCGGTTTTCTCATTTTATGCCCCGACTTGACTACAGTAATTTCTGAAATGAAGCCTGCACGCGGCATCCCTTGGCGTACGTTTTCATGAAAAGAGTCAAATCTTCAATTCCTCCGGGGGATAAGATACGACTCATAATATTGATCCTTCCTCGTTTGAGTCTCCTCTGACACTGGTTGGCGAACCTTTCTTTCTATACTATTTCAGATAATGTAAAATCTCAATTTGAGTGGAGGTCGGATTTTTCCTCGTGCTCTCATTTTGCCCCGCGTTTTATTTCATCCCACTCACCCCTAGCACGTGCATTCTGTATTTTTTAAGTGCAATCAGTATTGTCTCCAACTTTCTAAAGATTTCCAGGAGACATTGCGATTTTTTCTGTTTTTTAAAGTGTGAAATTCTGAACGAAAAAAGCCTGGGTACAATAGATCGACGGTTTTACTCACCCTTAAGGTACTGCATCCCAAGACAATCGCACTCAAAAGTTAGTGCCCGTGAAAATAGTTAACTCATCAGTACGATGAATAAAAGCCCCTGCGATTTTGAAATTTCAGTGCAGGCTCTCCTTAATTGTGCTCTAAATACGTATTTTTATTATGAGAATCTGTGAAAAATCTAAAATGTACACAAAATGTACATAAATATTGAATCGATATCCTAAATACCTCGCAAGCCTGTCGCCTCCGTCGTCTATTCTCACGTCACGGAGGCGCGCAAGCGCATGCCGTCAGTCTAGTCAAGAATAAATGGAGGGAAATGATGCAATAGTCGTAACAACCTAAACATTTTAATTTTTTTCAATGTAATTAGTCTTTTTGGACATTCAAAAAATTGCTAAAATACGCATTCACTTTGAACTGGAAAACACGGAAAATCAGATTTCTAATTCGCACTAGAAAAACTTGATAACTCACGAATTCATGTAATTCATAATTAGTGAATATCATAATTAGTGAATTAGTGTTAATGAGTTCATGTAAGTTGTTTTCCCTGGGGCAAGAGTGAAACCTATTTCCGTGATTTTTTCATTAAAAAAATTGACGTTTATATGACTATATTATTTTCAGTAATTTTCAAACCGCAAAAACACTGGAAATTTTGACTTGATCCGCCGAAAAAATATTAACATTAATATCGTTACGAGTAAACGAAAAGGCACTTTTCGGCACGAGGTGAACGTAGCAGCAAAAAATACTATTTCATCACGCTGTGACGAAAAGTGAACTTTTCGGCACGCTCCGCGTGCCTAAAAGTCCAATTTCCGCCACATTGTGATGAAAAATATTGTTCGTAACTCGTAAAAAAATGTTTTTTAGCTCGTGGAATTATATCACTCACCTTCAGCTCGTGATATAAACCTCCCACTCGCCAAAAAACACTTTTTTGCACTCGTTACGAAATATACTATTACCTAACGGGTTGGTAAATAACGTTTTGGCGAGTGTGAGGTGAACAGCTCGAGCCAAAGACGAAGATTGTCATCGCACTCGTCAAAAACATAATTGAAAACGAGTTACGCGATTGTATTTTATCCAACGATTCGATCAATGACGTTTTTAACGAGTGTAAAGTTTACAGCCCGAGCCAAAGGCTGGGGTTGTAATCGTTCTCGTCATAAACATGATTTACCACGAATTACATAAAAAATTTTATCGCACGACACCTGTAAACTGGCAATTTCCGCACGCGGACAGTGTGTAAAGTGCCAGTTTACAGGCGGACGTGGGACAAAAACAATAACAATGCAATTCCCCGAATGCTCGAAATTCGATTGTTCGAAATTTAACGCGAAAGATTAATCTGATTAATTGTCAGAGTCTATCCGTATTCGGTAATTGTCCGACTTTTTTTCGTCTGGATTCGCGCCAAGCGCAGTATCCAAGGGAACTTATTCGATGAAACCCTATAAAAATTTTTAATTGGCTAATTCTTTTATGAAAGTCTGTGACAAATGAACCGCGATTCCTCAAATACCGCGCTGTGATTAGCCAAAATCCAGACTCCAAAAAGCAATAAAAATCGACGAAAATCTGATAAAATGCTCGAGCGAAGGTACGTGAATGTCCTCGTACATTTTCTCATGTCATCGTGTACGAGAACAATTTATAGAAGAACCCAGCGTATTCACTAGAAAACTCTATTGCATTCCTATTGGACTTTAGCGTAAACTCTAATAGTTTTTCGCAAATTCTAAAAAATAAAATTCTGCAAAATTTTCGGTGCTTTTTTTCCCCAACAGAAATGTTTAAAAGAATATTTTATAGGAATATTTTGTTGAATTTTCTGTAGAAGAAAAAAATTGAGTGAAAAAAAAAACGACAAAAATTCAGGTCAAAAAATTTTGATAGACAATATCTAAAAATGATAAATTTTTATATGAAGATAAAATTGTTTAGACTTTTTCTATAAAATATTTTTTTGACACTGCTGCTACATTTACTCATAAACGAAAAATCTTTTCGTTCACTCGTAAACGAACAAGTCACAGTTCAGCCACTCGCTGAACGTAACATCACTGTCAAAAACTATTGTTCGACACATGTGAGCCGGGAATTTTCAACACGTGTGATTGGCAGCCCTCGGCTTCGCCTCGGGCCGCCAACTTGACATTCGTGCAAATTCCGTTCCACTCGTATCGAAATATACTATTATTGAATATCTCACTTGAGAAAGAACGCGCAGAAAAAATTCTAAATTTCCCAGTAGAATCATTGAATTTCCAATACAAATCCAATAGAATTTCATAGCGAAGGGAGTTTTATCGTACGTAATACCACAAGGGCTTCAAAATTATTAACATGAAAACATCAAAATTATTAACTAGTGGAATTATCAAAAATTATCAGTTGAATACCGTGTCGATTTTCTCTCGAGTCGAGCAAATTCTGTAGAAAATATATGAAAAGAATGAGTTATAGAAAAATCGAGTCAACTTTTTCTATTGAACTTGTTCTATTGAACATGTCAATAGAATCATCCAAAAACTAATAGAAAGTTTAATAGAAATTCAATAGAATTTTCTAACGAATTCGATAGGTTTTTCTATTAAATTTTTTCGTGCGTGCCGCGGCTGTAAACTCTTCAATTTTCTGTCTCGAAAAAGAACGCGAAACAGTTTAAATCAATTGATTTGGTGAAGCATCACTCCGCGTGTGTTTCTGAATATTTCTCCGGGAATATGATTTGTGAGGTGTCAGCTGAGTGATTAATGAGATTGATTTCAGGACGGTGTCTTTATTCGATCCATCTTTCTCGAGGGTGCAGGATGGGATAGAAAACGAGGCACACTCGCAGAACCAGCTCCCATGCAATTAATCTACGAAATGCCAGTTATTCATTTTTGCCCAACTGAGCAACTAAAGAAGAAATCAAAAGGTTAATTGGAATGTTCTCAATTACGATCTCAGGGGCGCGGACGAAAAAATAATTGTGCTCATTGTTCACAGGTCTGTACAACTGTCCTTGTTATTATTATCCAATGAGAGGAGGAACCAACAACCGTTCGGCATTCGTTGTTACTGTCGATCTCGAAAGTGGATACCAGAGTTCGGATTTTTGGGTCAAACGCGGAACTGCCCTTCTGCTGAGCCTTGCTACTTGATTAGCTATTTAATTTTGTGTAAATATTACTTTAGTTCTGGAGATTTAAATCGGAAGTAAATTTTGAATGAAAGTTAATGTACTGCCAATGACTACTAGTTTGGCCGCACTACTTTAAAGTAGCATGAACATAAATTTAATTTTGAAGATTAAAATCTGGAAAAAATCTCGGAAAATCAGAAAAAATGAATAAAAATTCAATGTCCAATATGAAAATTATCGGCAGTGTCAGATTTTTGTAATAAATAATTCAGTAGCGAAGCGGTAAACCGGGTTAAGTCGATTTTTACTATTGGCTAGTTTTTGACGAATATCTCGGAATCTAAGAGAGATAGAAAGATTTTTGTCATGACCTTTTTTGTAGAGCCAATAGAGCGTTATAAAAGAAGTTATGAGAAAAATTTTGCTATCTCTCTTAGATTCCGAGATATTCAACAAAAACTGGCTAATAGTCAAAATCGACTTTACTCGGTTTACCGCTTCACTACTGAATTTGTTTCTACGTTTCCGAAATGGCGTGTGATGTCAAAACACTAGTCAAACGAGAGACTATTGAGTAAAAAAATTAATGAAGAAAGAATTTGATGGATCAATTTCTTTATCCTCATCAAAGGTGGAATTCATAGGGAAAACTTTTTGACGATGAATAATTTTTTTTAGTTTTTTGATATTATTTTTCCTCGGTACAGTCAACGACTCACGTAGTTCATTCATACCACTTTAAAGTAGCATAAACATAAATTTAATTTTGAAGATTAAAATCTGGAAAAAATCTCGGAAAATCGAAAAAAATTAATAAAAATTCAATGTCCAGTATGAAAATTATCGACAGTGTCAGATTTTTGTAATAAATAATTTATGTTTCTACGTTCCCGAAGTGGCGCGTGATGTCGAAACGCTAGTCAAACAAGAGACTATTGAGTAAAAAAATTATAAAAAAAAATTTTACAGATCAATTTTTGACACTCATCACAGCTAGAATTAATGGGAAAATTTTTTAATGATGAATAATTTTTTTTGCTTTATTGAGTTTATCTTTCCTCGTTACACTCAACGACTCAACTAGTTCATTCATACCACTTTAAAGTAGTACAATCATACCTTTAATTTTGAAGATTAAAATCTGCAAAAAATCTCGAAAAATCAGAGAAAATAAATAAAAATTCTACGCGCAATATGAAAATCATCGTCCGTGTCAGACATTTGTAATAAATAATTTATTTTTCTACATTCCCGAAATGGCGCGTGATGTTGAGCCACCCTAGCCAAACGAGAGACTATTGTCAAAAAAAAATAATTCAAGAATTTGATGAATTATTTTCTTACACTCATCACAGCTAGAATTATTGGGAAAAATTTTTAATGATTAATAATTTTTTTTTACTTTTTTGAGTTTATCTTTCCTCGTTACACTCAACGACTCAACTAGTTCATTCATACCACTTTAAAGTAGTACAATCATACCTTTAATTTTGAAGATTAAAATCTGCAAAAAATCTTGAAAAATCAGAGAAAATGAATAAAAATTCTACGCGCAATATGAAAATCATCGTCCGTGTCAGACATTTGTAATAAATAATTTATGTTTCTACATTCCCGAAATGGCGCGTGATGTCGAACCACCCTAGTCAAACGAGAGACTATTGTCCAAAAAAAATCATAAAAGAAAGAATGTGATGAATTATTTTCTGACACTCGTCAAAGTTAGAATTAATGCAAAAAATTTTTCAATGATGAATAATTTTTGTCGGCATTTCGAATTTATTTTCTCTCTTTCCAGTCAACGACTCAACTGGAGTTTATTTTACCACTTTAACTCCACTTTAACCATTTCTTTTTTTTAATAAAAAAATTATTATTACCGAATTTTGTTTATTGTCTGCCTTATCAAGTGATCCTCACATCAGTCAGTCGATACATGATCATGTGCAGAACCACTAGCAATGAAGAATCTCCCCTATCGACCCGAAATGCCATTCTCAGCAGATGTCGCGACGATTAATTTCCGCTTGAAGAGAACCCTCATCTTTGTTTTCAACCGTCCTTGCAATAATCGGGGCTCTTGTTATTTTCGCGTTTCCTTCACGAAAGATTCGTATTGAGGGCATGTGAATTATTTCATGCTGTCATTACTTCGCACAGTGGATTGGTTTTCAAACAGTTGAACGTCAAATCGACATACTTTCTCCGCTGAAGAACAAGGGAATCGTTCGGGTTTTAATTATCAACTGCACGCACTTAACAAGTGGCCGCTCCGCGGGTGTCTGGGATCTGTCAAAGTACGATACGCTCCTCTGTCATGCGATATTCCAATCATAAGCAGTCCTCCTGATTAGTCATCTTTGAATCTGTATTTTCGCCGAAATGGGTAAGTCTAGATGCCTTTCGTCATCAAATTAATGAGGAGGAACGTAATTACGTGCACATAATTTCACAGACTACGTTGAGAAGATATTTTTTTGCTGAAAATTATTTATTGGTCCCGATCGTGGGTGAACCGATTTTCAAAAAAATTCGAAAATTAAAAAACTAATCGATGAATTAAATTTTAATTAATGACGATCGGCAGGGCTCAACAATACATACGGGAGGTTGGGGTAAAATGGACACTTTTGACTTTTTGAAAAATATTAGTGACGGGTAGAAATGTTGATGAAATTTAAACTTTTTTTTTTCAATACAAAGAACAATTCTTTCCCTTTGTGATGAGCCTAAATTGAGCTCAACTCATAAATTTGTTTCTGAGTTATGAATATTTTTAAAAAAGTCTAAAGTGTCCATTTTACCCTACTTTCCCCTATATTTAAAAAAAAGATTCAATTCCATCCATGCATTAGCCAACAATTGAAGAAAAACTTTGTCAAATGGGTCGATATAACACGAAAAATCCAAAACTTAAATTTGAACGATTACAAAGTTTCCATTCGGAAGCAAAAATGCTTCATGTCAGTATAATAATTCATTGAAACGGTTCTAATCGATGAATTAAATTTTAATTAATGACGATCGACAGGGCTCAACAATACATACGGGAGGTTGGGGTAAAATGGACACTTTTGACTTTTTGAAAAATATTAGTGACGGGTAGAAATGTTGATGAAATTTAAACTTTTTTTTTTCAATACAAAGAACAATTCTTTCCCTTTGTGATGAGCCTAAATTGAGCTCAACTCATAAATTTGTTTCTGAGTTATGAATATTTTTAAAAAAGTCTAAAGTGTCCATTTTACCCTACTTTCCCCTATATTTAAAAAAAAGATTCAATTCCATCCATGCATTAGCCAACAATTGAAGAAAAACTTTGTCAAATGGGTCGATATAACACGAAAAATCCAAAACTTAAATTTGAACGATTACAAAGTTTCCATTCGGAAGCAAAAATGCTTCATGTCAGTATAATAATTCATTGAAACGGTTCTTAGACGACCAGAGCGAGTCCCAGAAATGGCAGCAACATTTGTCATTACTTCGATCGCAATACGTCAATTTATACGCTACAAATACAGAACTTCGACAAAAATTTGAAATTGCTACTGCAGCCGGGAGTGAATCCGGGTTCATCGAGAGATTGTTGACGACTGTTGCGTCGCTGTATCGGCAGAAACGTTACAGGTGATATAATTTACCATTCACAATTATATTCCAAGTCCCCCGAAATTAAGGCTCCGAGGATAGGGAAGAATGGGGTGAAATGGGGACTAGACTTTTCTTCCCATGTTCATTTACGAAAGAATGCAACTGATGAATGCTATAAGCTATAAACACCCTGAATTAACAATTTCGTACGTGGAAGTGATTCGTTAGTGAGAAAATGTATTTATTAGACTCTTGGAAAGGTTGCGGTGGGGTCTAAGTGGAAATTCCCGCACGAAAAAATTTAATAGAAAAACCTATCGAACTCGTTAGAAAATTCTATTGAATTTCTATTAAACTTTCTATTAGTTTTTGGCTGATTCTGTTGACATGTTCAAAATTCAATAGAAAAAGTCAACAGAATTCGATTTTTTCAGTTTTTTTCATTCTATTTTTCTTTTCTTCTCATCAAGAAAATCAAGCGAAAATCTTAGAAAATTTGAGCCGAGAAAATTCTATAGAAAATATCTGAATAGAATAAGTTATATAGAATCATTGAATTCTATTGACTTTTTCTACTGAATGTTTTCTATTGAATATTTCAATAGAATCGGCCAAAAACTAATAGAACAGTTCACCAGAAATTCAATAGAAAAAGTCAACAGAATTCGATTTTTCTATATAACTTATTCTCTTCATATATTTTCTATAGAATTTGCTCGACTCAAATTTTCCAAGTTTTTTTCATTCTATTTTTCTTTTCTTCTCATCAAGAAAATCAAACGAAAATCTTAGAAAATTGGAGTCGAGAAAATTCTATAGAAAATATCTCAATAGAATAAGTTATATAGAAACATTGAATTCTATTGACTTTTTCTACTGAATATTTCAATAGAATCGGCCAAAAACTAATAGAACAGTTCACCAGAAATTCAATAGAAAAAGTCAACAGAATTCGATTTTTCTATATAACTTATTCTCTTCATATATTTTCTATAGAATTTGCTCGACTCAAATTTTCCAAGTTTTTTTCATTCTATTTTTCTTTTCTTCTATCAAGAAAATCAAACGAAAATCTTAGAAAATTTGAGCCGCGAAAATTCTATAGAAAATATCTCAGTAGAATAAGTTACATAGAAAAATTGAATTCTATTGACTTTGTCTATTGAATATTTTCTATTGAACATTTCAATAGAATCGGCCAAAAACTAATAGAACAGTTCAATAGAAATTCAACAGAATTTCTAACGAATTCGATAGGTTTTTCTATTAAATTTTTCCGTCCGTGATAACTGGGACATGGACGGTATATGGTCGACACATACGACAAAATTTTATAGAAGAACCTGGCGCTTCCACTAGACAATTCCATTGGAATTCTATTGAAAATTCCATCAATTTTAGAACCAATTGGAAACTCATGGGTGTATTACATTCATTGGATTTACCCACGTGCCAATTTCTGCCACTAGTATTTGAGAAAAGCGTAACCTGGCAGTACCTTTAACTCGATATTTACAGGATTGTAACTGAATGAATAAATTACTTTGTCGTCTATTTGGAATTCTGCGGATATGTATTTCGATCTTCAATTTTTGTCGAAAATTGCCATGTTTTTTCGCAAATGAGTCCCAAGATGGATCTGACATATCGTGAGGGTTATCGAGGGGCTCATTTGGAGGCGAAAACTCTAATGAAATTTTTGTCTCCGACTCTTTGTTTATGAGTTATCAAGAAAAAAAGGACAGCCAATCAAACGCTATTCCCCCATAGAGAGACCATGCCCCCTTTCCCATTTAAGGCGGAGGGATGATGGCATTGAATGTCCAATCGATTTCAGTCAATTTCATTCCTCGATATTGAATGAGAGTGGAGATATGAATTTTTTACGTTGACTCTGATTTTAGGGTCACATTGCGTTTAGGAACCAAATGGCTCTGACGCCGCGTTGAAATTCATTACGGGTTTTATAACCCGGGCATGATGACAGAAGAACAATTTTTTCTCAGATCATTGTGCATTAAATGCCCAATCGATTGCCATAATTTTCATTTCTCCAGCCGAAGTGAGAAGGGAGATATGAATTTTTTACGTTGACTCTGATTTTAGGGTCACATTGCGTTTAGGAACCAAATGGCTCTGACTCCGCGTTGAAATTCATTACGGGTTTTATAACCCGGGCATGATGACAGAAGAACAATTTTTTCTCAGATCATTGTGCATTAAATGCCCAATCGATTGCCATAATTTTCATTTCTCCAGCCGAAGTGAGAAGGGAGATATGAATTTTTTACGTTGACTCTGATTTTAGGGTCACATTGCGTTTAGGAACCAAATGGCTCTGACTCCGCGTTGAAATTCATTACGGGTTTTATAACCCGGGCATGATGACAGAAGAACAATTTTTTCTCAGATCATTGTGCATTAAATGCCCAATCGATTGCCATAATTTTCATTTCTCCAGCCGAAGTGAGAAGGGAGATATGAATTTTTTACGTTGACTCTGATTTTAGGGTCACATTGCGTTTAGGAACCAAATGGCTCTGACTCCGCGTTGAAATTCATTACGGGTTTTATAACCCGGGCATGATGACAGAAGAACAATTTTTTCTCAGATCATTGTGCATTAAATGCCCAATCGATTGCCATAATTTTCATTTCTCCAGCCGAAGTGAGAAGGGAGATATGAATTTTCAAAAAGCGGGTGATTTGCGGTGGATTTTTGCTTTTTTGACGAATAACTTCTTCACAAAGCGCCGGAGACCAAAATTTCAAAAAAAAAGTTGAAAGTTGAAGTTGAAAGTCAAAGTTGTTTTTTTAATTTCAAAAATTTCAAAAGGGGATGATTTGCGCAGGATTTTTGCTTTGTTGACGAATAACTCCTTAACGAAACGCCGAAGACAAAAATTTCATTGGAGTTTTCGTCTCCAGATAAAACTTCCCAACGTTCCCTCACGATGTGTCACATCAATTTAAGGACATCCTGTAAATATAAACTTATTACGAAGACTGAGGATAATGTGAAAAGTCATTAGCGAAGCGTTGGAGACAAATAATCCGTTTTTATCTCCAAATAATCCTAAGTTACTCTCAAAATATTTCTTTTGACTTTTGGGACACCCTGTACATTCTCCGATTCAAAATCACTTCATCTATAAAATTTACATACACACTGTGCCCTCATTTACATATGAAATTGTACGCAAACTTAACAGTCAATATTTTCTATGTTCCAGTGATTTGACTATCAAATTGACCAATGGCAATGTTCCAGCTCATAAATTTATATTAAGCGCAAGAAGTGATTATTGGAATGAATCGGCATTAGCAAGTACATCCGAATTAGGTATTCACTGGGATAATCTCTCTTTATTATTATTAATTTCATTGAGAAAGTTGTTTCGTTGACCGCTTTCAATCGAAAGAGGTTTCACGGGGCCTTGCAGCCGTTACAACGTCTAATTATATTTTTAATAATTGGAGAACTGAAGAGGAACTCAGATTTCGAGAGCGAAAAGTCGAAAATTATCTCATTGAATCGATTTTTTCAATCTGATTTTCTCTTTAATGACTACAAGCCCACGGAACACCTATTTTTATTTCATTTAAAGCAATTGAAATATGGAATAAACTCTAAACGAAAGAGTCGCATGGGAAAATGAATTTTTGGAGGTTCGACAAAAGATTGAAATTTAGAAAAAAACAGAAAAAATGAATGAAGCGATGAAATTTCATCCATTCGTCAGCGAATAATTGAAGAAAAACTTTGGTACATTCGAAACATTCTAGTCGACCAAGAGACTATTGTTTAAAAAAAATAATTAAAGAAAGAATTTGATAGATCAATTTCTTACACTCGTCAAAGTAGGAATTTATGGAAAAAATGATCAAAGATGAATAATTTTTTTGGCTTTTTGGAGTTTATTTGTACTACTTTAAGAGATTTATACAATCTTTCTGTCTTACTTGGTCACCTGAAACCAAAACCCCAATTTCAAATTGTTCTCCTGAAAAATTTGGAATGCAATTTCATCTTATGAAAATCTCAACTTTTGATTTTCCTGTTATGCATTCTCTCACATTTCTTTCCCCAGACTGGAGTCATTTTGATGGTGATGTTGGCTTGATATTGCTGAAGTGGATTTACACAAGTATCGTGGATAAAGAAAATTTGACTCTTGAGTTTATGAAGGCAGCATCAAGCTTCCAATTGAAAGAGCTCGTTGAACAATGTGAGACTTATCTCATTGGCACTGTCAGTCTCAGAGATTGTGTGGCACTTTACACAGCGGCAGAAGGCTTGGGAGCTGAAAAACTGCGGGAGTACTGCAGCTCCCTCATATCCACGCATTGGGTAAGTTCAGCATCACTAGAATATTCGCTTTACTCTACCTTCAATGCCTCGATTCGCACGGGAGTTATTGTATTCGCCCCTTAAACCTGAGTTCGATTTTTCATATCTTCACGTTGCAGCACGCATGACAAATTTTCAATAGAAAAACCTAGCGTTTTCTCTGAGAAATTTTATTGAATTTCTGTTGGAAGTGGACAAAAATTCTCTTGAAGTTTCGTCAGAATTCTATCGGAGATTCTGCAACTTTACCGGGCCATTTTGCTAACAGATATTTGATAGAAGAAGGTCAATTGATTTTTATTTCCCTACAAACATTCTTGGACGTAATTTTTTACGTTTTTTCCGCAGTATTTTTATTTATTTCTCATCATAAAATCCACGATTTTTTTTTTAATCAAAAACAACAATTCTTACAGAAAAAATCACAACAGAGCAAGTTGTATAGAAAAATTAACATCTATGGACATTTTTCTGTAAACAAATATGTATTTAAAATGGCGGAGAGGCGCAGCATAATTTATAGCAAAATTGGCGCAGAAAACAAATAGAATTTTTGAATAGAATGTAATTAGAATAAATGAATAAATAATCATTTAAATTATAATTGGAATGATAAAATTTTTCAGGAAGACCTCACTGGTAATGACTTTAAGGAAATGCCCGGTGCTCTGCTCTATCAACTCTTGAAGACAAAAAGCGACTATCCACTCCACTCGGCTGTAAGATTGGAGAGGGAAGACGTGGTATTTTTATATCTCGTGGAACACAATGCGGAGGTGAGTCATTGATTCGGTACTCTGGGGGAAAAAAAATTGAGTGACTATTCACACCGGTGACGGGCCTTCCCTCCCTATATATCACTCCGAATGATCCGAATATATTTCAGAGAAACCTAGCCCATTCCCCCAAAAATTCTATTTAAATTCTAAATTTAAATTTAAATCAAAATTTCAATTTTTAATTTTTAATATTCTATTTTTTTTATATATTCGAAATTGATTGATATTAAAAATATTGGCACCAAAGAAGATTAACTCATTGACATCAACTTTAATAAGTTTTATTCATTGATATTAATCAAATTTAAATTTTTCGAAAAATTGATATTTTTCCAAAAATCAATTTTTCAACGATCACTCAAAAAATTGTCACCAAAGTGGAATTAGTCATGGCTCAAAAAATTGATAATGATACCCTCTTGAATCTATCAGAATATGATGGGGGTCGCACAATTCGTTGTTGAGTTACAGCACATTGTTTATGCGATTTGAAAGAGAAAATCGGTTTCTTCATGATTACTGAAAGAATCATCAGTAATAGCAATTAAATCAGGGCTTGAAAAGTATATTTCAATGTCTTCTTAATCAAGTTGAAAAATGGTGAGAACAGCATCATTGCTTATCAAGTTACACAATACCGTCATGAGTTTTTTATATCAAAATCTCTATCTCTATTAAACTCAGGTAGCAGTCTATTATGTTGAATACTTATTCATATTGATTCATGGTCCCGACTAACTTCTGACAGGACCTGGGTTAAACTCTGTCTAAATCCTGAATAAACCCTGATTAAATCCCGACTATACACTGATTAAACCTTGATTGGACCTTGATTAGACCCGGACTGAAAACGGATTCGAGTCTTGAGAGGGTCTGAATGTAGACTCATTTGACAGAACGACATAATACGCAAAATTCTGATGACATTTCAATTGATGATAGTACTATGACCTGAAAAAATAGAAGAGAATAGTGAAATAAGAATTAAAGCAAACGCTAATCCATTCTGAAGCAAATTGCTAATTCATTAGCAACAATAACTATACTAATTCAATACTTTATGGAAAAGCCTATAGAACGGTAAATTTCTGTTTTATTATTCCATAAAAATCAGTGGAAATCACGTAAATATATTAATTGAGGTAAATATATTAATGTCCGAATATTCACTGAAATTTCATTGAGTATTAAGTCGAATCATAAATTCCTGAAAATTCATTATTTTTTCCTCTAATTCAAATTCAATGTCACACTCCTAAAAATTAACAATCAACTCTCCATGAAATTTCAATTTTTTCCAACAGTGAAGGTTCCTCTGTAAAATTTCATCGCACGTGTAATCTCGTCGTAGAAAAGATAAGAATTTTCACACACCCTAAACGCAACTCTTGATCAAATCTCACTAACAATCTTGATATATCATACAACACATTCTATATTTCTCCATGAATGACTCACAGCAGTGTTAAACGTTGACTCATTCCGAGCAGTCAAGACACTCTGAATGCGATCGAACAGATGAACATTAAAAATGAGAAATGAATTATATAACTCTGTCCGTTGAGAGTTCTTGCGTGATTACACAATGGATATTGACAGTAACAGTATTCAGGTGGACCTCCGGGTGAGCCTTTATCTGGTCCTACGACGCATCCCTCCTCGTATGCTGATCGCACAATTTTCTCTTCACTATGCCAGGCACGTTGACTGTGGTCGTAAGACTGAAAAACATCAAGTTGAGGGGCACAGTCGCGTTCCACACTTGTTCTAACTATAGCTATTGGAAAAAAAACAAGCACAAGATTAATTTCTACTCATAGGTCCACTGGATTGAATTTTATAGGAAAATCTAGAGCATTCGCTCCAAGATTCTATTGGATTTCTATTGAAAATTATATTATTTTTTCGTTGGTTCTCTTTAAAAATTGCAGTTTTTCCCTGCGATTTTTTTTTTTAATGAAATGTTCAATAGGAAATATTCTGCGAAAAAAATCAACAGCATTTGACTTTTTTATACAACTTGTTCAATTGCTCGCCATAAGTTTTTCTAGTTTTTTCACTCTACTTTTGTCTTTTTTCATTGACAAAATCGAACAAAAAACGAAAAAAAACTATAAAGATTTATTTTATCAACGTGTTTTTTCAAATTCCTCGACATGAATTTTCCTAATTTTTTAACACAATTTCTTATTTTTTCTAAATTCTAAAGTTTATCTTTAACTTTATTTTATTTTTCCATAAAGTATTGAATTCTCAACTGGATTTTTGCCTTTTTTCTTTGTACATAAAAATCAAATTTCGTTGATTGTTCCTCTGAAATATTTTCTATTGGAAAAAATGTGCCGAAAAAATTGAATTTTTCAATAGAAAATATTTTATAAAAAAATTAATAGAGTTTCATTTTTCTATACAATTTGTTCCATTAAAATATTTATTTATGGAAATTCCTCGACATAAATTTTCCTAGATTTTTCACTCTACTTTTGTCTTTTCTCATTGAAAAAACCAACCAAAAAACAAATTTTAGACCGAGGAATTTCCAGAGAAAATATCTCGATAGAATCAAAATTACCTTCAACTTTATTTTATTTTTCCATAAAGTGTTGAATTCTCAACTGGATTTTTGGCATTTCTCTTTGTACATAAAAATCAAATTTCATTGATTGTTCCTATAAAATATTATCTATTCAAAAAAATGCGCCAAAAAACTGGAATTTGTCAGTAGAAAATATTTTATAAAAAAATTAATAGTTTCATTTTTCTCTACAATTTGTTCTATTAAAATATTCATGTATAGTTTTTCCACTTTTCGTTTTTTCTCATGAGAAAAAACCAACAAAAACCAAAAACCTACGAAAAAACTGATAGAGATTTATAATTTCAAGGCATAGAAATCTGGTTTTCCCGAAACATCTTCCCCCATAAGCCCTTGAATTAAAAAATAACCAGAGCGTGACTAAACTTACTTCCATTTACCAGCTTATGATGAATAGTTCGTTTCATACAGAGCGTCGACTTCGGGCAATACGTCTGATACAGCGAACTCCCATCGAATTGGCTGCAAATTTGACTAGGTTTTTGAATGTGACTAGCCCCCGGAAGAGGTGCAACGGAGCACTTGAAGCACGATATACCCTCGGACCCAATTTCCTCAGTACCTGCGATAGAAAAAACCAAAATCAATCATTAAAAGCGCCAAACTCCACTCAACCCAATAGACAATAAAAATCACGTCGATGAATGCCCTTACACATTAGCATTAAAACAGCCCACGAGAATGGGAATTGTCCATAAAATAATTTCATGTTTTAAAAAACCCTTCGCTCCGAAGAACACCATAAACATCAATAAGGCAGAACTTTCCTCAAAATCACGAAACTCGGCTGAATTATTCTCAACGTCTCCATTCCGATAATTCAGATGAATAGATCATGCGACCTAGAATTTTTTCCAATTAATTCGGCCATCGATTTTTGGCATTTCTCGACGAATGCATCCAACTGTTTGATGCAGCACAGAATAACAAATGGGGCGATATGAATGCGAGCCTTGTGACGCATTCCAACAAGACAGTTCCCTACAGATTTGAGAGCTGACTCTTGTTGACTCGCGCTTGCGGCAAGGTCCTGTGCCCACTTCATATGCCACGTCATATCCCTACCATTCACGAGCTTCCCCGTTATATACAGATATAAATGGGTGGAGTGGGATGTATCGCGAATTCGTGACGTCGCAGAGCGAAATGTTCAATTTTCCACTGGGGAGTGCGCAGCGGGAATCCCGTCGATTGCCAAATGGCGAAAAATTCTAGATAAATGGAATGTGTGAGGAAGATTGAATTTTTTCACGTTGACGTCTTGGAATAATCGTGTATCACACGGCGGGGAATTGCAGGGAACTGCTTTGCCAAGAGTGTGATGGTTGCAGTACATATTTGTCATCGCCACCCCTCAACCCCCAACCCCCAACCCCCGTTTCGTCGCCGTTCGAGTTGGTTTGAATCACGGACGTAGAAACAGGGTCTATTTGAATTGAATAAACTGTATTTAAATTGATAATTTTTGGTCTGGCCCTTGTGACCCTTAATCTGACCCTCGTGAACCTCAATTTGACCCTTGCGACCCTTAATTTGACACATATGACCGTTATTCTGACCCTCGTGACCCTTGTCCTAAATCTTATGGCCCTCACGACCCTTATTCTCACCCTCGCGACCCTTAATCTGACTTTTGTGACCCTTAATTTGATCTATATGAATCTTAATCCATAGGGACTCTATTACTCTGACCCTTGTGGCCATTAATCAGACGCTTGTGATCCTCAATTGGACCCTTATGACCCTCATTCTGACCCTCGTGGGCCTCATTATACCGCTCGTGAACCTCAATCTGACCCTTGCGACCCTTAATTTAACCCATATGACCCTTGCGACCCGCAATCTGACTCATATGACCCTTGCGACCCTTAATCTGACCTTCGTGACCCATATTGTGACCCTCACGACCCTTAATCTGATCCTTGTAACTGTTATTCTGACCCTCGTGATCCTTGTCCTAATTCTTATAGCACTCGTGACCCTTAATCTGACTTTCGTGACCCTCACGACCCTTAATCTGATCCTTGTGACCCTTATTCTCACCCTCATGACCCTTAATCTGACCCTCCAACCATTATTTTGACCCTTGTGACCCTTAATTTTGGAGTCTCAATTTTGAATACCAAATGTTTATTACCACAAGTCGATTAAAATATTGTTATCTTAAAATATTATTAAAACTGAAAATATTGTTATCTGCAATATCTGTGACCCTTAATATTGTTATTGTTAATGCAATATTGTTATCTGTTGTTGGATATTCATAACTATATTTTAAGTCACGCAACACTATCAATTTACAAATTTTCTGATTAAGTTTTTCTATAGAATTTACACTTCCTATTGCGTTATTCAGTCATGGAACGCTATCAGTTCACATATTAGAAAAAAATCGTTTCTTAAAAATGATCAAAACAAGATTTTTTGCGCCAGACATGCGAAGTTTTGATAATTTTTATAATAACAAACGATTTTTTGGTACAAGTAAGACTTGTTTGAGAACTCTGCTGTTTTTCTCTCAGTTCTTGGTCGATTTGACGACGGAAAAATTGAGAAAACCTGTGTTTATTTAATCGCGCGGTTTGATATTATTATTCTATCTATGCGGTAGATCTATTTACCGCATATATGCATCCGCCCGTATACGTTGTATGCGGAAGTATTTATCAGCTTCATTCTCCCAGTGCTTGCTCCTCTCTAGTTTAACACTATCCTTATTAAAGTCATGTGCGCTATTACGACGATGATTGATAGTTGAAATAGTTTTTCTCGCTGATGGCGAACGAAATCGGATAAATGAGCATTATTATTTGATAAATAATAATGCAAGAATGACATTCTTGCAAACATTCGAAATTTCCAGAGAAGAAACTTCAAAGAGACTATGAATAAGTAGACAGTGGCATTTTCTTTATAAATGAGTATAGTAATTGTTGCTAATAAATTATCAATTTGCTTCCGAATGGGTTCTCTTTTTTTAAATTCTTATTTCACTATTCTCTTCTTCTGTTTTTACATGTCATAGTACTATCATAAATTGAAATGTCATCAAAATTTTGCGTATTATTTCGTTCTGTCAAATAATTCTACATTCAGACCCTCTCAAGACTCGAATTCGCTTTCAGTCCGGGTTTAATCAAGGTTCAATCAAGGTTTAATCAGCGTATAGCCGGGATTTAATCAGGGTTTATTCAGGATTTAGCCAGAGTTTAACCCAGGTTCTGTCAGAAGTAGTCGGGACCATGAATCAATATGAATAAGTATTCAACATAATAGACTGGTACCTGAGTTTAATAGAGATAGAGATTTTTATATAAAAAGCTCATGACGGTATTGTGTAACTTGTGCTGTAACTCAACAACGAATTGTGCGACCCCCATCATATTCTGATAGAATCAATAGGGTATTGTTATCAATTTGTTGAACCATGGCTAATTCCATTTTGTTGACAATCTCCTGAGTGACCGTTGAAAAATCGATTTTTGGAAAAATATCAATTCTTTCGAGAATGGAGCTTAAGAATTCGAAAGGAAAGAGAATCCCTCCGGAAGCAAATTACTAATCTATTAGCAACAAAAGCTAGTCATTTACAAATCCAAAAAACGCAAAAGTGCCATTATCCACTTATTTCCCACTTGAAGTTATTGATAATCGATGTACCAAGTAAATTATCCATTTATATTTGAAATCTTCAGCTTCCGAAGGTGGTGAATGCGGTAGATCACAAGGGCCGACGAGCTCTGGAGGTGGCTCTCAAGTCGCGTCAACCCTCCCTCGCACGTACATTAGTTGAACATCAGGCTGATCTGAGTGCGAAGGATTCACGTGGCCTCACCCTCCTGCAGTCTGCTATTCTCAAGGGCGATTCATACGCCGCTGAGTTTATCATTGAACAGTTGGAAAACAGCGGTGCCTCGGAACGTCTGTCAGACCAACTGAGCTTCGATAATAATTCTGGGGATGAAGCGTTGAGGGAGTTTGAGGGTTGCACTGTCCTCCACTTGGTAGCTAAGCACAATACTCCGGACATGGTGGGTGTTGCTGGCAAACTCTTGCAAGCGGGGATCAATGAAAATGTGCAGGACAAGAGGGGGTGGTAAGTCGATTGTATCATAAGGATTTTTCAAGGGATAATTAAGGTCAACTTTTCCTGAAGCACGGGAATGTCCTCGAGAAACTTCGACTGGTGTGGATTTCAGTGGAACTAAATTATATCTCGTAAAAACAAAAAAAAAATTATTAAACATCGCCAATACCAATGCGAAATTATTTCCATTGAGATGTTCCTTTTTTGGAACAAGTAGTAGGGGAGGCTGGGGTAAAACAGACACTTTTTACTTTTTTTCAAATGCTAATAACTTATTGAATTGAGTAATTTTTTTTCAACAAAAAGTACAATTCAGTAGCGAAGCGGTAAACCGGGTTAAGTCGATTTTTACTATTGGCTAGTTTTTGACGAATATCTCGGAATCTACAAGAGATAGAAAGATTTTTCTCATGACCTTTTTTGTAGAGCCAATAGAGCGTTATAAAAAAAGTCTTGAGAAAAATTTAGCTATCTCTCTTAGATTCCGAGATATTCAGTTGGCAAACTTTTGGCTAGAAAGAAATCAAATACTCTCATTATTGCGGCACATAAAAGGAACTTCAATTCTAGAGAAGTTCGATTTCTCCCAATGAAATGTATCTCAAGAAGAGATAACTGTTATTCACTATGAAACCATGTTTACTTGAAAATTGACCAAATGACGGTAGGTTCAAATGAAATTCTCTTCATAAAATTAATTTACTTAAATCAATCAACTTTATTGCAATATTTTCTATAGAATTTTCTCGACTCAAATGTTCCACGTTCTTATCATTCTACTTTGCTTTACTTTTCATCAAGAAAACCACACAAAAAAGAAAATTTCAGCCGAGGAAATTGCATATAAAGTGTCTCAACAAAATAAGTTGTACAAAAAAATCGAATTCTACAGACACAATATTTTCTATTGAACACGTCAATCAATCCCCTAAAACTCATAGAATGTCGATTCCAAGTTCAATAGAATTCATGCACAGCTGGGAATTCAGTGCAATTAATCAGACACCTGACCTCCCTCTTCAGGACGGCCCTCCACTGGAGCATCGCCGAGAGGCACGAGCCCCTGTTCGAACTCCTCCTCGAATCAAAGAGCTTGAACCCAGACATAACAACAGAAGATTGTCACTCTCCCCTCTCATTCGCCCTCCGCGCCGAGCCCTGCCTCAAAACATTCGCCGAGAAGCTCCTCTCCCACGGTGCCACATCGAATCCAGTCTGCAGCAAAGATCAGGACACCCTCCTCCACGTTCTAGCCCGAGAAGGCAAGGAGGAGGCTGCGATATTCCTCGTTCATCACTCCAAAACCAACACCATAACAAAACAAGTGAACCTGGACGGCGCAGCAGTCCTCCACGAAGCCTGCCGAGCTGGTCTCGCAGAGCTTTCAAAGCTCCTCCTAGACCTGGATGACTCAGAGTGCCTAACCACCGTTACCAAGAGCACCAACGAAGTCCCCCTGCACTTGGCGGTGTCAAATCTCCACTTCAACGTCGTCCAGGTGCTCCTCGAGTCGCCGAAGAGTCCAAAAGACCAGTTGAATTGCAAGAACAACGAGGGAGAGACACCACTGAGTCTCGCAATAAAGGCCCCATTGAAGAAAGGTCGTGAGATCGTGGCTGGACTGATAAATGCAGGTGCCAACATCAACGAGATCAACGACAAGGGCTTAACTCTGCTGCACCAAGCCATATTAAAAGAAGACTCAGCGACAGCGATATTTCTGCTGGAGAATGGGGCAGACATGAACGCCAAAACCCCGGATGACGAGAATCCCCTGCAGTTGAGTGTGCACTGTCGACTGGGTGAAGTTGTGGAGGCACTTTGCAGACGAGGAGTCGACACCTCCGTTGGCTGTCCACTCTGGGATGCCCTGGACTCAGATCAAGATGACACTGCCTCTATTCTAGTCACTCACGGTGCTGACACTGATTGCTGGGGGCCTGGGCCTGACGGCTGCTACCAAACACTTCTCCATCGAGCTATTGATGACAATAAAGAAGAAATTGCCCAGTTTCTCATTCGCAGTGGGTGCGATTTGAATGCACCAAGGAGACCAGGGCCCGATGGTGCTGGGGGCTGTGAAGCTAGGGATAATTGCACTCCACTGCATCTGTGCTGCCAGTGGGGGCTTGAGCAAGTTGTTCAGACACTTGTGGAACATGGGGCCAATGTCAATGCACGTGATGCTGAGGGGAAAACTCCGATTCATGTCGCCATTCAGAATCAACACACTCAGATTATAACTCTGTTGCTGTGTCATCCTAGTATTGATCTCTCGTCGAGGGATAAGAAAGGCCTCAGCCCTTTTGCCACTGCTCTCACTGTCAGGAATAATAAAGCTGCTCAGGCTATTCTTGAGAGACTGCCCAGTGCTGCTGAGCAGTTTGATAATAAGGGGAGGAACTTTCTGCATATGGCTATTCAGAAGGGCGATATGGAGAGCATTCTGTTTTTGTTGTCCATTCAGGTTGATGTTAACTCGAGGGTGCAGGATGTCATTCAAACACCACCGCTGCATCTCGCTGTTACGTCGGGGAATGAAATGCTGGTGAGGAGCTTGATTTTGGCGGGGGCCAGGATCAATGATACTGATGCACATAGGAATACTGCGCTGCATGCCGCTGCCAAGGCCGGACATGCTGCTGTTGTTTCGGCTTTGCTGCAGGTACGGTGATTAATTTGCAGGGGTGATCATTTTTTGGGGGGGTTTTGGGGACTTTTTTGCTGGGGGGGAGTTTCGGTAAGATTTTAGCCCATTCCGTGATTGGAAATTT